AGTATAGAAATGTCCACAACTGAAGTGAAGACAAAATGCACCTACGACCACAAGTATTCCACACAGCAAGTCTTTCTTTTCTTTCTTCTATAATAAAATAATAAGAGCTATCATCTCTACTCACCATTCTAGGGAGCAACAGTAACTTATGAAACGTTTGAGTATCTGCCTCAAAATCAAACTGTATCAAACGATAAGGTAAAACAATACTTCCGAAAAGTAATTATTCTATACACATTTCTATGAATCAAATCAAACGAACATTTAATAAGTCATTTTAATATACTTCGATGGGAAATATAGCAGGCTTATCAAATTACTCTAACTTCATATAATTGAGTATGCTTGAACCGAGTACCGCGCTTTTCGAACAGAAAGTTTAGTCCTAACGTGATTTGTATTTATCAAACTTTTGCTGTGTTCTTACGCAACAGAAGTACCATTTCTGACCAAAAGAATCCATCCTGAACCATACGTTCCGTAGATTACTTTTTTTGAGTTTCACCCAATTTAATAGTTAACTGTGGTTCTGCCTCACCTTACTATTCGGCTATTTTTCAGTTTTTCACGTAAAGACTAGTTCAGTTTATCTCATCCGTTTTATCCATTTTTGTCCGTTTCCAGTGTGTTTTTTAGTGTATTTTTTACGGTCTTAGGCTTTTGCTAGCATCTACAACACAGTTTACGTCAATACAGTCATGAAAAATTCATGCGAACGACCTGGATGCCGTTTTGCTGTTACATCTGGCATGCAGTGCGACAACTGCAAAGGTTGGTTCCACGAAGCGTGCACAGATATCACAGCAACTGCTTACGACAGACTCAACAAGTCGGATCGTAAGTGTGAATGTGTTACGTGCAGCACGGATGCTGCAGTCTTGCTGAGTAATATCATTGTCCTACTGACAGGTCTGCAGAGCAAGTTGTGGGCAAACTTGGGAAAACAGTCAAAAAATGGGTAGACAAACAAGAGAGCGCATTGAAAACCAGAACAGGGATGTCGACAGGTCTACCAACGACGGAGCATGCAACAGCCTTAATGATGACACGCTGAAACTCAGCACCATGATTACGACGACGGTACTCGACTCCCTCATCAAACTCAGGTCTCATAGCTCAAGGTCCTTGAACGCGACAGTGGTTCCCAAAAACTCTGTAGGTGATTGGACCCATGTCAAAAGAGCTAAAAAGGACCAGGCGTCACAGTCTAAGTTGAACATCCCAGCTGTCGAACGGAAATCAACTTGTGATCTGGTCGCACAGTCTACCCCCAAGATTGTCCGTCCGGTGATCAAAGAGCCAAGGATTCATAAAAGTGCTTCGACCCCCAAACAACAAGGTGCTAAACCTGAACACACCGGAAAACCTGGGACGGCAATAACGGTTCGTGATGACTCTCTCATAGTCATGAACTTCAAAGACAACCCTGACCTTCCTCTCAGTTTGCAGGACAAAAATGATAGGATGCTCTGGGGAGAATTGAACAAGAAACTTGGACTTCCAAGAATAAAGCCTTTGACAGTCACCGGCTCACTCGGGGAAAGGAATCTAAGCATCAGAATCACCCGAGGCTACCTCGTGTAACACTTAAGAATGCTACTGACGTAGAGGATGTCTTACTAGCGAGTCATTTACTGAAATCAAATGGGAATGTAAGAATACTGCCTGACATACCGTATTCTGAGCGCAATCTCATCCGGAATATCTCCAAAGAAACTCGCGATCAGTTTTTCCGCGGGAGGAATATAATCGTGCAAGGTATACAGGAAAATACTGACCCTACTCAATCAAAGACAGACATCAGGGAATGGAAATTCATCAAACAGTCCTTGAGGCTCAAAAACATACTGACTCAGCATGTGACGAGACAAGCCAAGAAGGATGGTGATTCTAGACCCTGTCTAATGAAGACAACCTTCCCATCTTCCCATTTGGCGGCTGCAACTCTGGAGGCATTTCGTGCAAACAGACGTCGACTGCCACCTGGAATCCACATGCACCCAGATAGGCCATACGAAGCTAGGACCAAATACAAAGGCAAGTTGGAGCTGATCATTCCACTTGTGGACTGTCTATACGATAAAAAGAACGTGTAAAGGACAGGGCCTACCACCTCGGCAAACCTCATATAGGTGGGCTACCTGTCCATTCACGTAAGGCTCATACAGACAAACAGGACGAAGCTCACGCGTTCCAAATTGAAAGCATAAACTGCTTATATATGAACGCCGCGAGTCTACCAAATAAATTGGATGAACTACGTGAACTTAGCAATGCTAATAAGGCCGATCTGATGGGAATATCTGAAACGTGGATCTCTTCTCAAATCTCGGACCATGAGTTAACATTACCTGGGATGTCTTTGTTCCGCAATGAGAGAAAATCAGGATTTGGGGGCGGAGTAGCTGTTTATATACGTTCTTGATTGGAGGTGCACCAAGTTCATAACTTCGACTTTAACAATCTTGAGGCAATACAAACATACCAGGAATATATGCACGAAGGCTATAAGAGAAGATAGACTTCAGTACCAGACAAAGCTTATGGACAAATTCGCCTCCAATCCTAAAAGCTTATTCCGTTATGCAGCCTCTCTTCGTCAAGCCGAAACTGGAGTTTCCCAACTGGTAGGTCTTAACGGCCCGACCAACAACGATGGCGACGCTGCTAACCTTCTGGCTGAACATTACTCCCAGACATTTCAACTGACCGACATTAACTTTACTGATGGCAGTTTCGTTTGCAATTCCACAGGACTTTACGAAGTGGACCTAAGCGCTGACTTGGTGTTCCGGAAATTGCAGCACTTAAGACTAGATACTTCTCCTGGCCCGGACATGGTCCATTTCGCCATACTGAGGGAAGAAGCCTCAATCTTGGCAACGCCGCTTAGCGTGATGTACTGACACTCGCTAAGTCGAGGAAAACTACCGGAATATTGGAGGTTGGCTCACATCACACCAATTTTCAAAGGAGGTCGACGCAGCGAACCTTCAAGTTACCGACCGGTGGCTCTTCCCTTAATACCTTTAAAAATCATGGAGTCCCTGATATGAGATGGTATAAATGACTATTTACTGTCCTTAAATTTCTTCTCACCCCAACAGCATGGTTTCAGGAAGGGTTACTCTTGTATTACCAACCTGCTGACTGAGGTGGACAGATGGACAAGTATCCTTGATCACAATGGGAAGGTTGATATCATCTACCTAGATTTCTCAAAAGCTTTTGATAAGGTTAACCATACATGTCTTATCAATAAGCTCAAACGATTGGGTATCGGACCACCTCTAATCGATTGGCTCACGTCACACCAAAAAAATCGACATTTTAAGGTCAGGGTTAATTTCACTTTATCTCAGGCTATGGAACGTCCTAGTGGGGTCCCCCATGGCTCAGTACTAGGACCTCTCTTCTTCTTGATCTACATAAGTGATCTTCCTCAATAGGTGACGTCAGACTTATTACTTTTTGCAGATGACGTAAAACTTTGGAGAGAGATACGCAACCAAGAGGATGTACAGGCACTTCAGGAGGATCTGACTCGACTTCAAAGGTGGGCAGACGATAATGGACTTACCTTTAACACTTCAAAGTGTAAAGTAGTCCATCTTCGACATGTCGCAGACTACAGTTATAACTTAGGAAACTCCTCTCTGGTAGTATCCCAAGTGGAAAAAGATTTAAGATTCCTAGTGTCCCATGATTTAAAGTCTTACGCTAACTGTGATAAAAATGCCTTCTGAGCAAACCTTGCACTGGTAACGTTGAAGCGCATTTTTGGACAGTTCGACGGAAGAACTTGCTATACAGTCTTCAATAGTTTCATCCGTTCCCATTTAGAGTACGGAAACATAGTAGTTCCTCCCTCATTCCAAAAGGATAAGGACACCCTGGAGCGTATCCAACAGCGAGCCACGAAATCAGTTCGAGGACTCAAATCTAAACATTACGAAGAGCGCCTCCACTCACTTAACCTTTACCCATTGGAGTATAGACGTCTTCGAGGTGACCATCTGATGGCTTATAGTATCCTTAACACTTCTGGACATCCTCTCAAACACCTACTTAAGCTTAATTCCAACACTAACCTAAGAGGTAACACCCAAAAACTGGAGACACAATATAGCAGAACGGACTGTAGACACAACTTCAACTCCTTAAGAGTTGTTAAATGCTGGATTTCGCTGACGGCCGAGCTAATCCAAGCGACTTCCCAGGAATCCTTTAAGAGGCAACTTGATATATTCTTAAGGACTAAGGATAGTATCACATTGTGATTTACTAATTTCTTTTCCTCTTTTATTGTTAACATACCTAGGTTCCTGCCTGGAGGATTTGGTGATCCCCTGCTACTAGACACAGAAGCCTGTTAAGCGAAAGCTTCTTCTATTCCGTTCACAACCATTCCAACCATTTGTTCCACACTCAATTTCATACTAGTTTTCAACAGAAATGCTGAATCTAACCCATTAGTACAAGGAGTACTGTGAAAAATGTATATATATATATGTAGTGAATACAGTCTCATTTAGTTTCTTAGTATTTTTGCCCGAATATGTTTTTTAAAACACCAATGCAACAATTAGCGCAAAAATAGAGTAAATATAAATGATGTTCTGTGCATCTAACATTGTGTGGGCGATTTAAGAATCGCACGATTCTTTACAGAGAATCACATCATATTGTCTTCATACTGGCACTACTCATAACAAACGATTATTGGCACTGCAATCTCTTTCTTAAACAGTAGGCAGCCTAACCCTACAATTGTTTGTAACTGCATTCAGTACTCATCTAAAATACAGTTTAGTAACTTCACATTCCATACACAATTATCTTGTAGTGACTCACGTTTATCACGAGAACACGACTGGTTTAATAAAAACAATTATTATTATAACCAACTGTACCAGTGTTTGTTTTAACGTGCTTTTGTTTGACTGTGCTAATGACAGCTTTTTTGTGCTTCCATTCTTCTACTTACACTTTGATTGTAACTTCGCGCGAATTCGGTTACGTTCTGTAACCAAGCTTGTATCCTGGCACGATCTCGGTATCCTTTCGATGCCACGAGATCGCCAGCAAATAGACATCGACTTGGTCCATTAATTGCCTTCTGGTATTCGGCTTATCGGGGATTTTATGGAGTCATTTGGAACGAGCTTCTTACGCCTTCTGATCTATTTGGCACGTGTTTCTTGGTAGCGGTGTTCATAGTTAATCACAACTCGACGCCACGCTACAATCTAATGAAAAGTATCATTCTTCTGGATCTCATTGAAATTAAGGAAATCAAGAAAGTACGTGAGATACAAAAAGCGTTAAGCTATCCTGGGGGCTCTTAACTCGCAAACTGTGCAGCATGGTAGGACAACTTGGAAAAGAAACCTGATATATCATGTAGCTTACAACCGTTCTTATGCCAACGGACCACCATCACGTTTTAGTACTAAGTTACACTTAAACGTATACCCACTTAAGCTAGAATAAGGACGAGCTAGCTCGACATAAGTGCAGAATTTCGTGGCAAGATTCACTGAAATATAGAACTACTCACCATGATGGACAGTAGAAACATCTTCATCAGATTCATTGAAAATAACCTTTAATTTTTACTTCAGCTATTTAGATACTCAGGGCGATTACTTTAGGTATTAATTTACGATCGTCTCTTCTGTTATCAAGCAAACCATGGTATTCAGTTTCAGGAAGAGTACAGCAAATCTCAAGCCCATATTAGTGAGGTTATAATTAATTTATGTCTGACATAGCACTTACACGCTATTTTCAAAGGCGTGGTCAATAATAAATAAAAAGAGTTCGCATAGAGTTGTGGAGCCAAAAGATATCACTGAGCCCTAGCCAATTCATCCATGATCCAGGTCAGTGAATGTCAGACACTTCACCGATTCACGCCGGGGTCAAGGACAACCAACGGGCATTAGTTGTTCGCACCTTATTGACTGGGCCATGCAGCGACGGCCACACTATTCCTCCCACCCACTCTTACTATTACATTTCTTGAATAACGTTGTTTATGTTGCACGGTCATAAAAGTAGCTATTGTACCTGAATACGATGAAAGGGTGTTCTACGTTAGGCACTAACCACGAGGTGTGACTTCAGTGTCAGCTGGTTGCTCACACTTCCTGAATAATTTGAGTAGGCTCTCAATCATTCTACACGGATTATATGTAACAACTTCGATTGAAGCGCTGAATCGATGGACCATTGAGCCTCCCAACTATGTGGAGGTTATGTCTGGCGTCGCTGTAGGCTTCACTACTGTCCCCAGAAACTAGATTGCCCTGGAAATTTTAAAGCATAATAGCCACACTACTGGCCTTAATATTATGACCGGCCTAATGGCTGTCAATCGGGTTTGTAACACTTAAACCTAAATACCCCAACTTAATGGGATAAATAAAATTTTTCGAAGTCGAGATGCTTCAGCAAGTATGTGAGGATCTGTTATCTAAGCTATAAACCGACCTATAGTATGATTCTCAGTGATTTTGGAAATGTTGTCGATAAAGAAACAATACTTAGACCCATATTTCTGGAAGGTTAAGAACCCATATTATTTGTGGTCACTTGCGAAAAAGTCTTTCAGGTGTGCTCTGATCTGGAGTAATTTGGTTATCTTTTAATTACATGAACCGTCCCTAAATACAGATCCCAACAAGGCACAAAGTACTTGTATAAAAACGCCTTATATGGTTGGTCGACTTCAGGACAAATCCTCAATTTAACTGCTGAAAACGCTTGCAACCACTTATCTGCCTGACTATAATACCTAGACGAGAATTATTGTCCAGAACTGTAAACAAGCATATATCCCGTGAGAATGACGAATTTTCCTTGACACTACCAGGTTCACGAACTGCCATCACTGGATGCTGAGTCACATTCATTCTGAGTATGAAAATCGTCTTCTCAGTGGATGAATAAAAAATTTTCGTTATTCTTGTACCAACATTCCATGTCAACAAGTTATTGCTAGTATCCACCTTCTGTATTAAAGTAACATTCTCAGATGTGATCTAAAAGCTGATATCGTCGTGACGATATTATATTCATAAACTCTCTGTTCTCGTTTATATTAACCTACAGTTCTACTTTTTTGACTGTATTATTGCGAAGTATATTAGTTATAGAATGTTTCAACTTCGCAACAACGAAGTACGACGCATACATAGATTCCCATTTAAGGCCATGGAATACAAAATTGGTTAAGTTGAAGATAACCATTTTCAAACCAAGAGATATTCTATTTATTGACGCATTCAGATTTACAATTGTTTTCTCGCCGCATTGTACGATGATATTCTTTCAAGGTTATACCAGCCGCCTGAAGACGAGACTTAAAGATATTCTTTGTGTCTAATTTGTTTGCGTCTTTAACATACTTCTTTTTCGTTTTTCCTAATTTCACCCGTTTTTCTGAATTTTCGGTATCGTTTTCATTTTGTTCTATTGGATTAACATTGTTGCTATTATTGTTGTCATTATCACTGAGTTTGACTGCTTGAGCCTCTGAACAGAATCGTTTTTTCTTTTTATGACGTCTGCGCTTTTTTTTCGATGACCCACTACTACTGAATTATATTGGTAAATAAAAACAAAAGGATTATGTTACATTAATGTTTTGTGAAACCCCGCATAAAATCACAAAGTTTTATCAGTTTTATTGCATAAGAAAGCAATTTAAATGAAAACTTACAAAAACGACTACTTGAAACATTGGCATGACAGTGTTATAAAAAAATCATAAGGTAAAATAGTATTTTCCCGTAAATTCAAGGACCGATTTCAAATAAAACAGCTGCATATGAAGTCCATCGAAAAGTTACTAATATGTACTGATTTTATTTAAGTTATGGAAATACGGAAGTCATAAATGGTTGAGAATAATACATTTTTCGGACCCCAGATAAGAATTAGAGCTTCTCATATCAAAAGTATTCACAAGAAAACAAATCACAAATAAGGACTAGTCAGTAACTTCAAAGACAACGAACGAATATTTTCTCTTGTTTTATGGATTACAAGCTTATATCCAACGTTTACGCTACTGTAGATCGAACGAGAAATAAGTCACTAAGTCAAATAACGGATAAAGCACCGTAATTCTAAGCAACACTGATTATGTATATAAGATGAATATTCTTCTGAATGGTCAGACCAAACTCCAAAAACTTGGATAGTGTGAGAACCTCAATAAAAAGATCGGTCACCAACTAACTACAGGATTAAAACACCTAAAACAACAGCAATACTTCTTTCAGTAAACATATGACGAACTAGGACCTTCTGGAATACATACCTTTCTGTTCTATGACAAACATAAGTTTCATAAACCAGTGGTTCCTTTAGACCCGATTCTAGATATCTCAAAATCACAACAACATTTAACAGCAAAATGGTTGGTGAACGTATTAGAATCACAACACCAACACTTGGTTAGGTACATAGTTAAGGATGTAGTTAACCTTGTATACGTAGTAGAAGATAGGATGAAAGATAAAACTTTTATCTTTGCCCACAAATATTCCACTGACAGAAACCATTAACTACATATGTGGGCAAATTCAAGTTACCAATAGCAGGAAATAAAATGAAGCTCTTGCTGAGATGAGCAAGGGATATCTGCTTCATGCTTAATAAAAAATTATATAGACAGATATATGGAGTAGTAATGGGATCTTCCCAGGGTCCGATGTTCGCTAATATTTTTCTAGACACAGTAGAAAATGAAGGAAGATATCCGAATAGGCTAGGTTATTACTGTCGATATATAGATGACAAGCTAACCGTGCGTGACTACAGTATTAATAAACAATAGCTGTTGAACAATATCAAGAAAATTCACCCAACTATCAAATTTACTAGCGAAGAGGGGTATGATAACAGTATAGCTTTCCTTAGTATTATCCTTTCTAGAAAGATAGACGATTCCATAAAAAGAAATTCATTTAGAAAGGATACTGATAGAGTGGACTCATCAGAAGTAGCCTAGTGAGAAGGTCAATCAATGGCAACCAGCAGTGATCTGACGGACCTAGGTGTTTCATAGGCTAAGAAATTGATTGATTTCCAAAGGTTCAGAGTTGTATATATATAAATGAGTATTTGTGCATTTTGTTAGGTAACCCACCCAATATACTTTCCCATCCATTATTGTGTTTTCGCTCAAGTAGTCAGTTGGGGGGGGGGGTTAGCGCGTAACACATCGTGTATCAGTATCAGATTTCGGACACCGTCCATCCTAACAGATATACAAACTGGTCAGTATACTTATTTTCATAGCTTTATAGCTTTCAATAAGGAATAAATCTGGTCGTATGTTTCAGCCATAGATTCAGACTATTATGTTTTGAAAATAATGTAGATATACTAAAAAATACACTACAAAATAACGGCTACCAATCCAGTTTCGTCAAAAAATATGAATCGGAATGTAAAAATAGGGCAAACTCCAACATAGTCATCAAGAAAACTCTTTTGCCAAAACTTTATTTTAAAGGGGATATATCGGGTGATACTTTGACACATCAACTAAGAAGATCAATTAAAAGATACTAAAGGCCGCTAAATTACATATTAAACTGACAGACACATGGAGTAGCACATAATCTGCAATCTCATTGATTCGTTGTGTGAGAACACGATTTATTTTATTATTGTTATACTGAATACAACTTGACACTTACAACGAATTATTCTGACCTTTCTAATTTACAAATGACACAATTCAAAAGTATTTATGCTGTATTATATGCAAAAGTTTGGCGTCGTACTAATAGTTAAGAAAGGTACTAAGAATGAAGGAATAGTGGATTGCTATGGTAGGACGAATATTCTCAGAAGGTGCTAACTGTTGGAACTATTTTACAACCATTATGTGTATATCTATTGTATAATTATTGAGTAACAGGATTATAAAATTCCCATACTCTCCGTATTGTAAGCTTTAGTTGGACTCAAAGACTACATTTAACAGTTCCTTAATTACTGCCAACTCATTATTCACTCCTTATTCCATTCTTGATCATTTGTAAATAGATCGTGAATAAGCTATATTTCTCTATTTGCAGTTATTATGGTCTGACTATGCATTTATGAAAACTAGTGGAAGGTTTGTCTGCTACTGTATTCTCTTGCCCGAACTTGAAAAAGTGCATCCTGACCTGATAGAAGTCTGAACAATGTGTGAGTGCTCAAGGTTAGTTGTTGTCAGTCCGTGTAATTGGTCAAAGCACAGGACGTTCTGATTGGTGAATTTTATCTGAGAATCGACTAGGATGCGTATCAGATATTTAGCGAGACTATAATTAACGGACGAATCAATCAGATTTTGGCGCGAAATTCATTCATCTATTTGGCTAAATATCGTTTTAGAATTATAGTTGATGTCAGTTCGTGATAAAACCCCTAATTCTAATTCCTAGTCCTAACGTCTCACAACTTTAACCACTAGACGCGGATCTTATAAGATACCGTGTATTAAAGGTCAAAAAACGTGATCGTAATCTTATGTTACAGATGAACATCTGTTGTCATTTAACGTTAGACTGACTTCGTAGATCGAATATTCCATTTTTCGGCCACTATTCACCTACCATAAACTTATTACGATAGGAAGTCGGTTTCACTTGCCCAAAAAGTATGAAGTCCTTAAGTCGAAGTATGAGATTAAAAGGGAAATATAGCTAAATAGTCTAACATACTAGTGAAATAAATATTTGTTCGTGATACAAATTAACTTCAAACCAATAAATTTTGAAAAACCTTTCCTATATATATAGGCAATAACAACGAACGTACAATGATAAAAACAATCCTGAGCTTACGATGGAAATGTAAGAAAAGTGAAATCAAAAAAGTTAGCTCCAATTTCTTCATGAATAAAAGCTCAGACACCATTTTATTGTAAAATTTGAAAACAAAACCAATCATCACATAAAACTTGTTAATATACACTCCTAAATATCAAAACTCCAAGTTTTATTACAAATTATATTGTGGAATAATGGATAACGGCTTACCTAGTAAACAAAATCTTGTTACCTGTGGAACTTAATAAACCTTATTTTGATTTAGAGATTTCATGGATGAACACTGCTGACAAACTCAAAACTAATAATAAGGAATAATCCAGTTGTTCTTTTATGGGGAAACTAAGGTACGCAGTGCTCACGTGTTTGGCATCACTCAATAAGGACATTTATTTATCATATTTAAGTATTTATGCCTTCTTAGAAAAGCATTCTTTTTATTGGAATAGCGAAACATCACAGTGACAGAGTAAATACAAAAAAATGTATTCCATGGCAGAAAGAAGAAACGAGATCAAGTGGTATACAGTAGTGGTTATATAAAGGATTATTATCATTAATTAATAAGAACTTCCGTTTAAATTTGAACGAATAGTTTCACAATATTTGAGCGCCGAGTTAATGTGTGACATTAAAGAGGAAGAATGTATTTGTAAAATCTCAGCGAAAGAATTTGAAGTAAATCCAAGGTTTCGCCTGGCAATCTGGTCCAAGCTTTTTCAAGGAAAATATAATCAAACAACAAAATAAACGGATATTTATATTCGCTGAGATTTTACAAATACATTCTTCCTCTTTAATGATTATTATCATTGCTATTAATTATTACTAAACGGCTGATTCCCTATACATTTTATCTTTTTAGACTCTCAGTAATTCTTTTCAACAAGCTGAAATTATTTACGTGATGATATTGAGTTACATGATACTAGTGCAAAATGTTAGGAAATAATTTATAGTCACAAACACATAAACACAATAATTAGCTAACCTTTCAATATCTTGATTTTCATTAGGATACCAAGTAGCGTTTGGATTATTTAATGAACCTAAAACACTCATTTTACGTTTCATTTGATAATTAGAACTATATAGTTCTTGGTCTTTCATTTCTTCTTCATGTGACCTATCAAACAGATTGCATAATATAAAGGGGAAACGTCAAATAACATATTTACGGATTTTCAACAACGAATTTCTCAAAAGATAATAACTCTTAAGTTAATGAAGAATAACGTATACATCTCAGTAAATTGAGTAGTTCAACTGAGTGTACTACATGATATGCATCTGAACAGTTATACAAATTAGAAAAGCATTTATCGACAGATATAATTTCAAGAAACTTGAACCAGAATACTGTACTTGAATAGAGATGTGAAAGATAAATATAAATAACAATCCAATTTTAATTATATTATAGGTTCGATATAAACTAACAACATTTTGTAAATGAACCGCTCATCTCAAGTAGTGTATAGAGTAATCGAAGAGTAATAACGATTCTAAAAGTCAGGTTTTAAAGGCTACAGATGATGATGCAATTCTGAAATTTCAGTTCGACACCATTTTCCATTCTCCTGAAGTAACAAATAAGTAAAGGAAGTGGATTAAAACAATTATTTTTCCCTATTTTCGAACTAAGTAATTTTATTTTCTAGATAGATAAAATGAATTTGTAAGAATATTACATACAAGTAACAATAAACAACACTTACAAATAAGCTGTGATACGTTTTAATGATACCCATGCATTCAATTCTTTAGGATCAGCTTTTAGTATTTCTTCTGTACTTAAGCCAAAATCATTTGGCATAACATTACGATATTTGAAACGACAGTAAACGTCTTCATTGGAAGTAGGACCGGGTATAATATCTTCACAATGTAACTGATAAAATTCTTCAAAATATTTCTATAGATTGCGAGATTTACACATATTTGTTATTAAGGGAAACAACAATTACAACAATGACCATATGACAAAATTGATCACAGTATCACGCTAATGATAAATTGAACATGGTTATTCAGTGTATTTGATTCTTGTTGGCTTAGCTTGTTACTTTTAGAATTACAACAATCCATCGTCAAGTGAGAACTAACTACAAGTCTCTAACTCAGGTATCCATTGTATAAGCAAAAGAGATTGTGTTAAATAAGACAGATAAAGTGATATTTGAACCTGAAATCTAATTATCGAAACTGATTTGACGACAGAACCACAGACAACTCCTTAAATTGTAGAAGATAACCAACAGATTTCAATTAATATGACATTCACTACTCTATCACTAAATAATCACAAATATTTATAAGCCAACAGTGATGATGACGATCAATATGACAATCAAGTAAACGCTTCAAAGTGAGCAAAACGCAGACCGAAAACATTGATCAAGTAGCTTACTGACTACTGACTAGATTATACAGCATAAACAGGATCCTTCTATCAGTGGAACACAGGACACGATCGATTATTGAGATACTGATTATTAGTTAACACAGACGATGATAAGGCCGCCATTATGATTATGTGCGTTGACCGCTGAATGAATTTTATGATTTGAGACAATAGTGTAACTACGAATAACAACATGAAAAGTTAATAACCACGATAGCACAGATGGCGCGACCCAAAGTTACTCAAGTCAAGGTAAGATCAGGATAGAAGGTACCAGGTTTTTATAATTTAAAACTCTTTTAATTGTTTCAATACCATCGTCTTAAACAGTGAGAATCACATCGATTTACAATAAACTAATGGAGAGGGCAACTGAGCAAACAAAATTATCTCAGACAGAATCGGCTTTGATGGCTCTGTTGATTTAGTGTAACCAGAGGACATATGAAAAATCGAAACACGTCCGAGAAGTTCCAATTAATAACCAAACAAACACCCCTTGAGTCATATATATAGACGAATACTGCGATTGAAACTCAGTCATTAATGGTTGAATTCTAGTTCAAACTGTAAAGCACTCAGACGACATCACCTGAATGTTAATTATCAAGTGTTGCAGCCTATGTTCAAAGGTAGCATATACTCATAGTGTCGCAAAAGATTACACTCGTTGGAAAAGTATTGTTTCATTTTAAGTTAGAAATCTGACGGTCTATAGGTTAATTTTGGTCGGAATCTAGGTTACTGTTAACTTTAATAATCACATATCTATTGTATATAAACACCAAACATAAATTATCTTGGTCTGAAAAAATGCATACATTAATTGTTGCAAATATAAACATGAAATAGAAAGTTGTAATACAATATCCATATCCATATCACATGTACTTTTAATACTTAGTATTACTTTCTCATGTGCAACACAACACGAAATATAACAGAACAATGGAAAGTATGCACATTACTCATAAACATGGAAAGAAATTAAATGAACAGTCTAAACTAGAGACTTGAGGATGGAATAAAATAGTGAGAAATATAAAACGCCGTGTAATGTATCCTTTGTATTTGCAAAACATTTAGAAGAGATAATAATGAAGTTATTATCAAATATTATAGAAAATCATAGTTTTTTTCGTTTATATTTATTCTGAATCACAGATTGTATTCATCATGGTTGTAATAGAAAATATTCTTATTGACTAAGTATAGGAACACATTATAATGATACAAACAACCGAACAGTTCATCAGTGGCGATGTCACAAAATTATCTTATGTGAACAATAATCATGAGCATTTTTCACAATTTAATACTATCCCAAAACTCCGATTTTAATCTGTATTTAAGATAGTTGAACTCAGTATGCTAAACAAGTGATATTGCACGGATTCACTTTTTAAAACATGACACATATTAAGGTTAATACTAATATTTAATAATTACATTATTACAGAACATATATAGTTGATGGGCTAATAATAAATAACTGGAAGCTAACCATAAATTTTAATTCTAGCATAGTAAATCTTCATAGACTGAGATGGTTGGGCCACGTGTTACGTATGCCTGAACACCGATTACCACCACGCGTAATGCTGACTAGTGTTGGGGATGGTTGAAAGAAAGTTAGGGACGGTCAAACCAAAACGTGGCATCAGTGCTCGAAGTCACTAACTTCTAGTCTTAGCCATGTTGATAGATGCAGACTACTTGGTTGGGGTCCGCGTGACTATCGTAACCAATGATTGGAGACTCTGGGTGACATGGCTCAGAATCGGTCACAATGGCGTAGGTGTATGCACTCTCTGTCTTCCTTTACACTATGAGGTTAAAATTGCTTTATATCTTTCTTTCTACCAACTAATCTTTTCTTCCTGTACTATATCCTTATATGCAATCTTTCTTTTATATATTACCACCACTGAATTAACTACCTCTATGAATTCGTTGTTCATCTTGTTGTGCTAATGAGGTATGGCAACTTGGACCGATGCAGATATGTGCCTGATCCTACGTTGTAGCTGACTGACTGATTGGTAGTGATACACTAGCACTTCAGCCACACTATAATTCGAACCAAAGCAACAACATTTTGAAGTTTATCTGTTTTTATAAATAGAACAGTTAAATCAGACGTATTAATATCCTTACTGTTTAACGCGTACTTAGTGACATCACTTACCTCATAGTCTGGATAATCATCAGGATTGAAAATTGGTTTACTTCTCTCTAATGCTTCATAAAGTCTCCGTTTTCCACGCATTGACTTATTATTATTTGCAATAGATAGTTTGTAGTTAGAATTCAAATTGCTCGAGTGTTTTAGTGGTACATTGTCTCCAGAATCATTATTAATAGATGTTTCTGGTTCATGCTGATCTCATATAAAAACAAAAGGAAATAATTTATTGTGAAACGGTGGAAATATCAACTTAAAATACGATTGACAAGCAGAAGATTATCGGGCCAACAGTTTCGTTATATTGTCTAATAGCATAAAATGAAGCTCCCCTAGTTACCAAGTTGAGAATGAATACGAGGCATTTAGACTATAGAGTAGTCATATTATTAAGTGAATCAATAATTACGAAAATCGATTCAACTAAGTGAGCCGAATTTATGCTAGATCTCAGGTTTTGTTTGTACGCGCAAACTGCCAAAGGTATACAATATTGCGCACAAATGATAGAATCAAAAGAACCAAACATTTAGTCGGTAAACCAAAACGTTTGACTTTATGCAAGTATGAAGATAGAGCTGTCATGAATACTTTGGAAGATTTATGAGAAATGAAATGTAAATTTTCATTATATTAAAGAGAACAATTACTATATAGTGAAATAAAGATCTGTTAGCAGGATGGAGGCTTGAATAGTGCATGTTTGTAACAAGATCTAATTGGAGAATACCAATTGGTCCATTTTCAATGAATAACCTAGAGCAGATGAACTGAAATGATACTTGCATATTGCTGTGTAAATTTTATATATATACTGTTATTATTATACTATCGTTAGTTGTTCAGATTTTGGGGATGCATTTACTTTTGCTTCCAATTCTAGATCGAATTTGAGGCCAGTCAAGTGAAATAATGTGTCCAAAATATTCTTAGCAGTGGAAGACGGTAACAAGACAAAAAACAATAAAAACAAATTGATGGATCTTACTTGTTTCATGTGTGAATCGTGCCCATCATCTACAGAAGGCTCCACTTCTAGATCACTATCATCCGAAAACTCTGGCTTTTTTATCTCTTCATCTATTTCTTCATAATGTTTTCCAAACATTGAGTCCAACAACTTTTCATGCTTTTCAGGATCCCAATCTTCATCTAAATATTCAGCAACATCTAGGACATCTACCTTGGTCGAATTTTTTAATTTATTATTATCATTACTATCATATTCTTTAGTCTGTGATTCAATCAGTTCATTAGCATCAAGTAATAATGATCCTGGACCACAAGTACGTTTAATTCTTTCAATTTTTTCAGCTAGCATACTTAATTTTAGATTCCGTAGGCGAGTTAATTCTTGAAGTTTAGCTTGTTTTTCTTTTCTCTTACGTTCAATCTTAGCTTGTCTTCGTTCAGCTCGTTTCGATTTAACACAGAGTGTTTGACCAATACTATTTTCTATAATCCGAGGGTAGGATTTTATCTGTGAATAGATATATTTCAAAATAAAAATATCCGAGTTTAACAGATATATATAACTTATTATATTAATAAGAAACGAAGAGCTGAGAATAGTGGTAATATGGACCATCACTGTTTTTTTAATAGTGAGAGAAACTAGGGTAGTGAATCCATGCTAGCAAAATCATCTCGTCCCACGAAACTACCTTACATCCCCAAGCGTCAGCTAATATCTACAATAATCTCACTAGAAGACAAATCAACCTCCTTAAAATCTTACGTAATAGGTCAACACGATCTCTCAGTTTGCTAACGTTTTCATGCATCTCGACAGACCAAACGCATCAAATGAAGCCAGATTCGAAAAGTCAAATAAATGATTAAAAGTTCAACGTTTTGTCTGCTTCACAAGAATGACACACTAAAGTAAGTGTTCAAAAACAATTGAATATCAGAAACCAAATGCAATCTAATTATTTGGACAGTTTTTCTGGAATAATTTAAACACAGGACGTTTTATCTTTTGATATAAGTAATCCTTTAACTTACACAAATAAAGAGCTTAATTATTTCTGAATCGCAAATGGATTATTATGTGTTTAATTCATATTATATTTCAATGTGGACAAACCATGATCATTTATTAAAACAGTAAACTGTACAGAACCACTATAAGTGAATTTCAGTTAGTTGATTTGCAGAAGAAATGACTGAAATGACTCTATACATAAACATAATGAATTCAACAAAAATACCATCTTACAAATTCTTTATCTTCTTCTTCAAAACGATGCTCAGTTTTATGTAGTTTTGTAACACCCGTCTGTAGTGAACAGCAAAAAAACAACGATGCGAAGATTATTAGCAATAAAGTTACGATTATTATCATTATAAATGTGATTAAATTCACAAACACACGTCATTATATTATTATTGTTATTATTATGGAAATGAATTCTCACTGGAGCTATTCTGAAGCTAATGTATATCCAAAGCTCGGGTAATAGAAAAAGGTTGAGTATGAGGTTATCAACCTCACAAAATCCGTAAAAATGAACCCCGCCACAAAGTCAATGACCAGAGAACGCTAATCACATTCACCTCGGGGAGTCGAAGGGTTTTCATATAGAAGTATTACAAATAGTGAAAACCGAAAGTCCTCGGAGGTCACAAGGTTGATGGAGATTCTTACAACCGAAACAACAAGTAATATAGCTAAGTAGTGTCCGAAAAGTGTGGAACAACCGGAGGGTCATTTAAATAAACTCACAAATGAGAACATACAGCTTCGTGCCGCCTACAAAAAGTAAGAAACATTAAATACAATCTGGACAGAAAAGATTAGGTTAAGAAGAGCTGTGACTGCATTCTGGTTAAAAAAATTTCTCACACACAACCACTGGCACCGATTTTCTCCAAGAAAGGCACCATAAGCACTCAAATAATAGAAGACTGACGGCTCTAGAATTATCAAAACATCCTCAAGGAAAGAAGAAGAAAGGGATTACAATCGATATCATCCAATGCTATGTACTCACTAGTGATTACAGAGAAGACTATAAAGACCAGTTTCATGAGGCTGCAGTCCATCCTGGGTAGATGACCAGGAAAAGATCTGGTCATTCTGATGGACGACCTGGATACCACGGTTGGGATGGACAACACTGAGTACAAGCACCAAGTTCTAGGTCTTACAATATCTACTGGTACCAACAGACTGGAAAGAGTGATACTTCATAAAGATACTCAAGAAAGAAGTGTGAGAACTACAAAAGAATTACACAAGTTTCAGTGCCAACCAAACTTTTTGACAGTGTTACTGAACAAAACAAAAGATTCACTAGACGTCCAACTTCGAGATCAATAATCTGGATTTTTTAAGGATCGACTATGTACCAACCAGAGACAATCCGAATCATTATTTAACAGTCAATCGCGTGGAAATCATTACTATAAATTAGATTTCTTAATTATGAGAAGGCAGTTGACATTGCGGAATATTCCTCAACACTATAAAGTACCTGAGATCTTCACCTAAAGGAGTGTCCTGAGTCCCACTGTTAGCCACCAATCGAAATTAATAATGATTGGATTAAATGTTTGTTAAACCACAGGCTTATAGGTTCACTTATTATTCTCACATAAATGAAGAAATGATTCAAAGTTATTGTGACACTGTAAAAAAGTCTCACTCAATTAAAGCATTATTTCGTTATTAATACAGTAATGAAGTGAAGAAAATAACAAGATAACTAAAATTTTTATAATCAGTGATATCTTCAGGGTAAGCTGTAAAACATATAGACTTTCAACTTATTTTATCTTCGACTAACTACTTAAATATAAAAATATTGGAACGACTAAGATAATAGCTATCCAATTATCCAATGGAACCTTTAAAAAGTGTCCCGAAATAATAGCCTAAAAAGAAATTTAACTGAATGACCTTGGCCGTGTTACAATTACTTGTCATCCTATCCATAGAAAATAATATAAGACTTAAATAAGATAATTAACTGATAAACTATGTCATGATTACCTTATCATATTGAAAGGCTGTTACCATGTTAACACTGTGACCTGATTAACGATATAAAGGGGAAAAGTTGAGAAATTGAAATTTTCTCTTCGCATAAAATAATGCACGTTTTGATGAATAAAAATAGTCATTTTGAAAATATCGGTTTGATGATTCCTTTTATACATAATGTATAACAGACGCTGCTTAGTAAGATGGTAAAGGTGATCCTTTCAAGAACGTTAAATCTAAACATGGGATCAAGTTTTGGATATAACTATCCTTACGCCAATCGTTATAATTATTATAGTATAAATAAATATTACATAAGCCAAAGACCGTTAATTCAAGAATACGGTATCAAAATCTACCGCATAAAATTCGTATTTCTCGTGTATCCAAGTAATGGGGAGTTAGCAAGCCATCATCATGATTCACGTTTTCTAAATAGATATAAAACTTTTAGTATTGATGGATAAAGATTGTAGGAAATAAAAGCAATGATAATTATTACTATCATAAATTATAAATAATATTTCTGTAAAACTTACATTAACACCTAAAGAGTGTAAACGTCCCTGTTCTAAGTTATTTAATTTAACAAGGAATTCATCGTCTTCATCAAGAATATCATCATCATTTAAAAGATTTTTCCGTTTATCCCCATTTATATCTAAGCCGGATTCGTGTAGAACATCAGAATAAGTTGGAATTTTATTACTTCGTTGTGAATTAGGTTCAATCCAACGTTTATTTATAATATAATCACGTAAAAACTCTTCAGCTTCTTTGTTAGTTGAATCAGTAAAAACTATTTTATCTAAATCCTGGAAAGAGATTAAAATAACAAACTGAGATATTTAAAACTGGATTACCAGTCTATTCATTAAGACCTGGTAGGTAAACAGTTTATTATATTACGGCTGTCTACCGGGACCCACCCAAAAGATTTAAACATATCTAGGTATATACTCTAGTCGAGTTAATACCTCTATCTAGTAACCTACAATCGGTCTCAGAGCTAGTTACACGGTAATTCCACCGCACGCGATGAATGCTTCGAAGGTATTTCTGAATAATTATTAGCAAGCTACATATGTTAACAACCTTTAAATACTATGGATTCGCAACCAAATAAAGCTAATCAGGATAAACTCATAGTATTAAAGTAGGTGCAGAATTTGGCAAGAAAATGGAGAATGGCGAATAGACAAGTTTATTTACAAAGTATATGTTCATGTACTCAGCTTCAAGCCATCCAGCAGCCAAAGTTGAGTGAAAGCAGGACATAAAAGTATAGAAACGCGTGCAGTGGTGCATTGGTCTTAACAACAAACTAAGAAGTTTCGTAACATAAAATACAAAATAAACCAGAGATTGAAAAAAAAGGAAGCAAATAAACAGAAAACAATCAACTTATTAGTATCTTATTGACACTATAAATAGAGAAAATATGAAAATTCTAAACCATCTGTCTGCATTGGTGTCAACGTTTTTTAGCCACTGACCTATATTGATGAAGAAACTTCCGGAAAGAATAAAGTGATCAACGTGCTGAAGTGTCTAACTCTATTCCCATAGCAAGCGTTATTTTAAATCCAAATTTTGGAAACCCATTTCAAATATTTCTAGAATTTCACATGATTTAAGAAAAAAATTACATCTTGTCAGTGTCTACAACAGATAGAACTTAATCACTAGTACACTCAAGAGTGGTCCACGCAGGTGATGGAGGTCCGGGAGGAAGCAGCATCATAATGGGTGACCATCTTCGAGAAGGATCACAATGTGGGTACGTCGGACGGATTAAGCATAATATTAATAGCCTCGATATTTTCAGGATCAGGTCTTCTTCCGTTTTTGTCCCCTATGATACTGTTAACTTTCAAACCTCCATCACCCACGAGCACCACTACGTTACTTACTGACAAAGAATAGTAGATGAAATTGGTGGAATGTCAAGAAGCCATCAAGAGAATAAAACAGCTTCTATCGTCAGATGTTTCGCCTACACATTACAATCGAGCCCTATCAACTGTGGTCGCTCTCGATGCTTCCAACTACTGAATATGAGCAGCCATTTCACACGACTATCCTAATAGATCTGAAAAGTTATTGCTCATCTCTAAGATCATTAATAGTGACAGAAAGGAACTATAGTCAAATAGGGACGGGAGCTCTACCTATTACTTTCATCGTGAAAAGGTTCCACAAAATGTTTGGTCAGCAGTTCACGTTATTAACAGACCACGGATGTAAGAAGGACATTCCAGTTTACACACCGCCAATAACGAGAGGTATCTACGCTGTTGGGCTAGGACTTTGAAATTAAGTACCGGTCGACGAGTAAGTTTGGACAAGTAAATGCCTTGGTAATATTAATCGGCTTTCATACAAAATCAGAGGAAGACATATTGGTGGTAGTCATGGCAAACGAAGCCGAAGTTTACAGTGTATTAATGGAAAACGTTCCTGGATTATTGGCTATTCTTGAAGCAACCAAAGAAGCCGCTGAAAGGGATAGTACCTTGAAAGACGTGAGGCGTTATTGACCGACCAAATGATCAATATCTAAGCCCCAAAACAAACCCGTACATTGTTATAGACGGTGAGATTCACCAACAATCTTTGATTTGTGAGTCATATTTGGTCATTACACTGTAGTTCTAGAAATCCTCTGACGTCATCTCTTGAGACAGTTTCACACCCACGTGATTGATTCTAGTTTCTGGACAAATAAATTATTCTAATCTTTCCGGATATTCTGTACAGTCATATTTGTCCTTGCTGGATATTCGCGCGTTAACTTAGAGGATATGTTTGCGTTTGTACATATAGTCTAATTGTTTGTGTATCTGCTCGTTGTATTTTATATAGTCTATTTTATACATAGGAAAAATTAGGATAAGTCGGCTGGTGTCCTAACTTAATAGTGCATCTGCACAGTCTTCGCTGACATGATTGTCTACCTAAAGTATAACGAATGAAACAAATATGTTTTCGCGATATTTTGGATTTTTGATTCAGTTGGGTATTAACGGGATATATCAATCGTTAATTACGAAATTAAATATGGGGTACATTAATGTCAAATTAGAGTCAGATATGGGCACAAAAAATCAATTCAATAAATCTTCGGTTTGGCACGACCTATAATTATTACTGTCCATATAAACTTCCAAATTCAATTCTATTTTAATTAGATCTTTGTGAAGTAAAAAAGTTTATGCCGAGCAAGAAATCCCTAATACTTGTTATATTAAGATCTCATTAAAATGTTAGGTATCTAAAATGGTCTGGTCACCAATAACATTTCTTTTGTGCTTTTAAGTTCCAATCAGCTGATGATAAGTAAAAAAATGCTACTTATACATCAGGAACTGAAAATCAATATCAGTTACACAAATCTTGACTATTGGTATAAAGTAAGTAAACAAGATAGTACATATGTATTGCATTGGATGTCCATGACATATTACTCTAGCGTTGCCAACTGGATAACAAAAAAATATACTCAAAGTTAACATCCCAACATATTTACAAAGAATCAAAATTTTAGGTGTTGGTCAATACAGTAATAAGAAATTAACATAAACGGAACCAGAACTGTTTACCACAACTCAGTAGCCGAATACACGGCTTCCATATTTTTGAAACGATAGGCCCAGGAGGTGAATCACCACAAAAATATTTGTTAGCATGAAGGTATAGGAAGTTAGTGGAGTCATATAGACAATAAAAGTGCATATTACAAATATATTATTTTTATTTATAACAATCAACCCAATGCTCAATTTATTCGAAATTATCAAATCAAACTTTGGTAATGACACCTATATAATAAAAGTGCATGTTGGACCTCTACTAATTCGTGAATAAGGACATTGCGAGGATTCGAAAATGAAGATGTCTAACCTCATCACAAAAATGAAACAAAAAGAGAATACAGCTGAATAATCCCAATATGACTTTATAGTTTTAGACGCAAAAACATAAGGAAAAACAATTTAAAGTATTCTTGGTTAATGAAAACATATTTCACTTTAATGACGAAAATAGAAATCTATTATATATAAAAAACACAAAAACGAGGAATCCACAAATAGGGATTTTATGTAAATAAGAATGTCAAAATGACATTAAACAGATGAAGTGTATTCAACACTTTCAATGATTGTTAGGCAAAATAAAAAACAAGAGATTTAACCCTTTATTGAATTCAATAGCTGAAAGCACGTTGCTACTGACTAAAATAGAACAAAGATGAGAGGTATTTTGGTATGAAAATAGTTGACCATCGGACTGCTAATATGCAATAGTCACTCGATAACTACAGCTCGAGCAGTGGTAGTGAAGCGACTATCTTCCTGTATTGATAAAAACGAGAGATTTTTCAAATAATGTAACTAATCAAACTCACATAATGGGATTTACGCTTTTTTCTCTTTGGAGTAGGTGGTTCTATTTCACTTTTGCGCTTCCGTAAAAAATTTAAGTCATCATAATTACTCTCACTGGTCCTATTGTCCTTCATTTCACCTGAAATTACAGCCGCCTGATTAAGCGCTTCATTGGCCTCTCTACAATAATAAATAAAACGTACTTCAAAATACAAGAAACGTTGTTGAAAAACCGCTTACTGAGTGACTGAAAAAGCGACCTATGGTCAAAATCGAAGCCAAGGTATATAGTGAAATCGTTTCAAAACGTGTCAGTTATCAAGCACTGACTAACTTAATAAGAATATTAACACAGGAGATACAAATTTGGTCGAACTGGAGAAGGTTACAACTAGCTTGAAATAGGCTAGTATATTACAGCCTCACTTATTAGATTCAGTAATCTTCAAAAATATTAATTCAATATGAATGCTTAGAGTGGTTGAAGTTGGAAATGGCGTATGATAACAGCGTTTAGTCTCACCAATAGTCAGTTACATAACAGGACAGAAAAATTATATACTGATTTGCCCTAAAAGTATACGATGTGTAAAAAAGGTTTGAGAATAATTTAGTTTTTGACATGCAATTAGTATAAAGATAGTGCAATAAATTAAGTTTCTAACCTTCAAAAAACCTAAAACAATGGATCCAAAATGATAATACCTATTACAGTAGAACAAAAGAATAAGGACATGGGAAAAAAAAACGAAGAATGAAAAGTATAAAACACAGTTCAAAGAATTAGTATCGATGTGCGTAACTACAAATGAGTCTACGTTACATTACCTGGTCATTATTCTTAGATTGCAATAATTTCGTAAACTCCAACTACGAAACCTATACAGCTCAGATCCAGTATCATTGACCTGATAGGACAATCTTAACACTCAACCTTTTGCCGAACCGTCGCTATATCAGCTGCTGTAGTACTCTCGGGTATAAAGTGAGTGGCATATGTAACACATCTCTCAAGGATTAGTTCGAGTCTAACATCGACATTATAGACTACGTAGGTCCTTCAAACATAACCAAATCATACATTTCCACTCAATGTGTTCAGAAATCCACGGATTTTTCGGAATATACACCAAACAGGACGCCGTTATTTGCTTTAAAATGACAATAAAATATCAGGCAGTTGATAAATTTTCCAGAAACTAAAAAACTGTTACTTTTTGAAGTATGTCAACTAAAAATTGACGGAAAAAGACTTCTTTAACTAAGTCTTATTTTTGATGATATTTTGTTAAATGCTGACCAGTCACTGAGTATTCAAATAGTCTGAAGTGCAATACTGTATGTTTTTAAGAGACGAAATAACGATAAGATCTCTCGGTTAACTGGCATATAAGTAATTTATCTTTGGTCGGATAGCGGTATATACATGTTCAAGAGCCTGTGAGTAAAGCTATAGTCCATCAACTTGCATCCAGACTAAAAAAATTGGTTTGTGGTTTCTGGGCTCTACATGATTAGAAAACCAAATATCTATTCTTTATTAATCAGAAATACGAAAGAATGATACAAGACACAGCATCACACTAAACTCTAAAACTTTTAATAGTATCTAACGTCCTTGGAAGATGATAATAACTCTTCTTAGACTCTCATGCAATTATTAATCCTAATATAACTAAATTTCTGAATCTTTCATAAAGCCTACTAACACTTACTGTATAAATTGTTCCTTTGACAAATCTATCGACTGTGTTTTCATTTTTCTCAAAACATCATCACTTTCCATCTGAGCAATCTTCTGCGCCTCCTTTGAAACACTTTCATCCTCTAATCCATCTTGAGCCAAAAGAAATTCGCGTTCATAATCCCGAAGTTTCAAAACACGTTTCTTTTCTGTCTTGGCATCTATTTGCATTTGTTTATTGTTATTTTTATTAATTTCTGACTCGGAAATTTCATCTGAGGACTTTGAACTTTCATCATCCGATTCACTAGGTTCACGAAACCATTGTTTATTAGGATCATTAAGAGATGGATCATTTGTACACAATGCTTGATATAGAGTCAAAAAATCATCTTGTTGTTTTTCTTCCCAACTATCATCAGTGTCTGAGGAACTTGAAGTAGATTCATCATCATTATCTGAAACTGAAGCAACGGTTACATTTTCGTCCACTTTGAAATTAGTATCAGATAACTTGGATAGTTTAATATCCTTCAGTTTAGCATCACCGTGTTTAGCCTTTAGTTTCTCGTATTCCTCCTTTTGACGATATCGGTTATAATTTTTAGCGAAATCCTGATTGATTTTGAATTGCATGTCTGGGATGTTTAGATAATGGCTATAAAACAATTATGACAATGAACTATATACACCAGAGTATGAAATAAATAATCTTAGTTAAATCACACTTATTTTTTCATCTATATTATAGACTACTTTCAGAGAAATAGTATGCATCATTGTTTTCCAGTCAACCAATCAATTAGATTATAAAAAACTAGGCATGTTACATTAGATGCCGAATCGCTGGGGTATGAAGACGGAAAACGGATAACTTGATAGACTGAAAAAGTACAGTGACCCTTGTTTCAGAGGTTTTTACTACTAAGGTGGTTTAATCCAGCAACCGATAATAGAATTTTTTATTCTGGTAAGTGTAATTACTTTCTCAGCTCAAAAATGATGTTCAGTACATTTATTCGACTTCAGTAAACATAAAATTTCCTTAATAAGTAACTCCACATTGAAAGCCACAATAGTACTTGAAATCCTATCCAATACTAAGTATCCTAGACAAAGGCTGACAAATCAACGATCAAAATAAAACTGTGATGGGGGACTAGCGATTTATAAAACTAAGTCGGTAAATTGTACAAAAAAGGCCGTCTTTTAAATATGTATACAGAAGTTAAAACAACATATATAGCCAAAGGAATTCGAGAACCTTAGCTAATGGTATGCAGATAAATTAACAGATTCAGTTGCTAATTTCTTACATCCTTAGTGATTATTCTCACTCGGTAGAAAGCTTTGTAAAAGTTAAACTTTACAAAATCGATAAACATAGAATTTTCTGAATTAGTTTAAGATTGGCAAGACTGTCCCTAAGAAATATTGAATTTATGATCAGCTCTATTTTAAAATGCCAATTATAAATCTATCAAGGACCAGTCAATCTAAATATGCTAACGAAAACTTTTGAAGTGTATTGGACGATCGATTTGTGCATGAAAGCAGAGTTTTTAATTTCTCCCGAATATGGACCCGCTATTCGATTAAAATTTGGCACATGGATTTAAACAAGTTTCGTCTCCTTGACAAAACTGAGAGTTAAGAAACTTTCTTATTCTCCCTCCTCACTTATCTTGAAAGTACTAAGCCTGGTTTCTATGATGTTTTAACCAAACTCTGCAGTTAATGGAAAGTTTCCGATAAGTTTAATTCTGTAGTGACGATTTTTTGAATATTATAATTGTAAATGTACTCCACTAATCTGGTTTAGACAACAGCTATTAAAATTCACATATCCTTTTAACTGTGCATACAGAATTCTTCATGAATGATGGTTGGAATCTAGTTTCATGGAAGTTGGAGCTCATAGGCAAACCATATGTACAATCTAGACAAAACAGATGCTCCTTGTGGGATACGGTCTCGTATCACTCAATGTAGCAGTCAAAGATATTACTTCTGAATTGTTCACCACTAGTCATACTTAACCATTGAATATCAAATGACAAAGTGTTTTTTAAATTAGCAAACACTCTAGAAAAACAAATAAATACCAACAGTATTCGCGCGCCTTTAGATGACAGCAGCTGCTTAACAAAAGTATGTTATTGCCCTCCGTATACATTATATATTCAAACATAGGTAAACAATATGAAAACAGTCAAGCTAATCAAGTAAGCACAATTATATCGTATCATACACAATACACAAACATAAGTGATGAGAAAAGAAGGTAAAACAACCAAATATATAAATTCCAGTATTTTCTTTCACTTTATATCAACAAACTTTAATAAAAGTCGGAGACTGAAAGTTACCCGTCGTATTATTTATTGCTTTAAAACTACATAATCAATAATAAGGCAAGAGGAAAACAATTAACAAAAAAACTAATTACATGTTAGCTATGCACACAGTTAAAATGAATATGCATAGAATCTAGTGAATAAATTAGAAATAATCAACTGAGAGTCAGAAAACTTTTCCGAAAGAATAAATGTCTCTCTTTTTGAGTGTGCGTAAAGAATTACGGTAGCCCTTTTATTATTATTATTAATAATATCATATTATATTTAATAAAAAAGAAAATACAATCGAATCAAATTAAAATACTAAATTAATAGCATTATTAAAATAACCCATTGTGTCATTGAATACAAATAAAGAGAATTCAACGTAGAAAAATTTCTTGTGTAAACTCATCTGATAATAAGAGTGTGGAATCAATTTATGATGCAATCATTCCTATCCTTCTATAGACATATTTCCCATATAACTATAAATACGAGTGTACAACTTATGTAAATGGTTTTGTAGAAATCAAAATTTTCTTCGCTGGATTCTCTTTATCAGCATTATTATTGATAATTTAGCAGAAGAAAAACATTTCCTCTAGATAACTGCTATATTGTGCATACTCATTGAGAGTCGATTGAAGTTCAGATTGTGTCAATCAAAAGAAAACAAGTGATTTTTATTGTTTAATACAATATTTTTACTAACCACTAAAGAAGGAAATCAATCGATTGGGAAACCAAACTAATCAACTAGAAATGGGAAAAAATCTCCATCATACTTTAGTCAGTTAGTGGAATAAATTTTCTCACAAACAAAAAGAAATAATGAAGCGTAATTAATACAATCAAAAGTCAACAATTTTTTTTGTTATTCTCCTTCTCTCTCTCCTTGCATATTATACTTTAATATGTATCTCTTTCCAAAAGGAATAAAACTGACGTAAAACTACTAAATACACGCAAAATAGCTAGTCGATAACAAAATAAAAGTAAATAAATAAATGTTAATAAATAAAAAACAACTAGTAAATTTTATCACATATAAGTGGAAGAATAATTGTGAGAGCATAATTTTAATTATTTCTTTTTCAAGACATTTAAATAAACGGAAAATAAATAGTGGAAGTAAGGAAATCACAAAATATATTCAACTATTACATAATAAATATGATTATTACTAACTACTGTACTTTGAAACACGTAGTATTAACAGTTGAGCTACTCTGAAGAATATAATTGGTAATAAAAAAAAGTAATATCCACAGGAAATGGAAGTGTTCAGTTTGATTAGATGTTATAAACTGTAAAGATAATTATTAGTAAACTTAAACAAACTGTTAGCTAAACAATTCTTTTTGAACGAGAATATAATCTAAAAGTTTAATATAGGAATTTTCTTCATCATCTTCATCGTTATTATTATTATTAGTAGTAGTAGTATCAGTATTATTTGCATGGTCATTACCATTATAACCCCCATGCATGGTATCATTAATAATTCTGCATTCATTTTCTAAACTTATCTCCTTAACTTTATTAATATGAGGTATACGTCCAAACACAGATAACTGTCCCAAGCATTTGCCAGTATAAACTTTACCACTCCAACGACCATGATGATTACTGCCAGATGGTGAATGAAGTTTAGATGGTGATATTGGTGAAGATGGAGTAAGGAAGTGCCATTCTGATCCATTGATTACAACAGCTACAGAATCACATTGAGGAGCGTCTAGACAGAATTTATAATTTCGGTTAATGAATAAATGCTGATGTTTAGGTTCAATTAATCGACACTGAACCCACCAAAATGTTTGACGCGGATAAGCCTGAATTAACTCAGAAGAACGACAGTTACGTGCATCAATTAAAATACGATACACACAGTCTAGATGATCTTTGACAATATCATTTTCATTAAAAGCATAAATAGTCAAGTAGTAAAATGCTTGTACAGGTAGACGAACGTTATAATAGGCATTAGCCTGAGATTTGAATGGCTTTGAATGTGTAATACTACTATGATGGTTTGGTTTCATTTGAAGCAATGCATAACTATCACAATCTGCCATTTGATGACCTGGTCGATCAAACGATTTTAATTGGTGGCATAGCTACAAAAATAATAGTAAGAACAAATTTAGCTGATATTGGTATAACATGAAATTTTACTGCCTCCATAGAAAATTTACAGAAGCTTCGATTCCACGCTAAAACCCCACAAGTTTTGTTAATTACGACCAGCTTATATTGATTTTAGTATATAGGTAATCCTGAGAACCCTGATACGATATTCATATCGAGAAACAGTCTCACATATGCAAGAGATATATTTTATCAAATCAATAGTTCTAAATTGGAACTTACAGGATCCATGAAAGCATACAAGAAAATTAGGTCATACTACTTAAATGCCGTAACAAGTTAAGATGCTTAAAGAAACTGTACTTTAATCCGAATTATAAATCACGAAAAACATTGCTAACCTCTTTAGTGGAAATTTGTAATATAATAAGCCTCTCGACAACGTTGAATCAAAGATCATAAACATAACTACACTGAATATAATCCGTGTCTTTCACATACCGTCAAATTCATAAATCCGTACACGTCCTTGGAGTTTCAGCAAGTCATGAAGTAGATGGGATCGAGTACATTACTGATCATTTGGCGGTCAACATACTTCATCCAAAATGCAAGCACATATTACTTTACTATTACATCACTGTATGGCTGAAGACTGTGGACAAGATGCTCTGGATATAATAAACACCTTTGTATCAAAAATGTTTTAATTATGAACTAAAATTGAAACGTTATGATGCAGTGTAGTTTTGTTATTAACAAAAAGGTGAAATTATATGTGACTATATGATTGGCTTTGGTTGTTCTCATTTAAGATTTGGGAATGTTGAAATCTGTGTGGCTTATCGAATAAGTAACGAGTAGAGTAATTAAGCTGATGTTATAAGTAGCACAGCAAGTGACTACACACCATTCTTAACATGAATCCCTATTACTGTATATAGAAGCTGAGAGATACGAACTTTCCTCCTACTGACATTCAACATCAATCTTCAAAATTGGCACTTAAATTAAGTAATCAATTTTCATTTCTAATATTTTTAATTTATACACTAGTTTTCATATCAGTGAAGATGTATTTATTCAAGACTACAATGAGTACGGCACAGGGAGTTTTTTTTAATTTATTTGAACTTAAACAACTTAATTATTTTATATTAAGTAAGGAAGAAAATTGTCTGATTGACCTAACCTTTAAACCAGGAGCAATGGCAAAAGGAATTTTCAGAGGTCTTGGATCATTGTGTACAATGTATGGTCGACCATCTGACGCATCACCTTCTGGTACCATTAGTACGCCATGCACTTCTGAAGCAGGTGTACGACCAAGAAAGCCAACTTCAGGCAATCGACCAGTCACAACTAGACGAGAATAATTATATTCTGAGCAATGAATCTGTGGAAAAAAAACAAAAGGGTCATAAAAAATAAAGGTGTGATATGGTACCATGATCATTAAGATTCTAAACAAAGAAACTCAAGCCAAGGTTTTGCGAAAATTTTCAAAACTATGTACACAAGAGTAACGTAAACAAAAAACTATATTTACAAAAATCTGAAAAAAGTTGTTAACTTATTAATCATAAAAGATGAAAATATACCGGTTATGACTGAAATAGTTTGCTATATCCTTATTTCACTGCAAACTAGTTTAGTTAGACAGGTAATTATATACAAACAAAAGGTTTGTTAATGGGTAAAATAGCACTCAGATCAACAACACAGGCACTACTAATTTAAGAGAAAAATAGACTTACGTTTATTTCTAAATTCCTTTTGTAAGAACGATTCTAGGAAACTATTGTGCAATAAATAAAATCACAAATTAATACCATAATAGACTTCAGATTCACTCATTTTTCAGGTACTTTGATATGAGTCACACTAATTGTGGGAGCTAATGATACTAATTGGTTGCCCCAACCAATGTAGTTGGAGCTGGGCTTGAACCTGAGATTTAGTAGCTGAAAGTCAACACTAAGCCACAGCTCCACCATAGTAATCACTTGATATTGGTGATATTAAAATCCAACAAAAACTTATTCATGATTTTCTAATTCTAATTGAAACAATATTTTGCGATTATTAATTACCGAAATTTACTTAATGATAATGTTTTGATATCATTTAGACAATTTATAAGGGTTTCACTGAATAAATTACTTATATATGACTTACTTACGCCTGTTACTCACAACGGAGCATAGGCCGCCGACCAGCATTCTCCAACCCACTCTGTCCTGGGCCTTCTTTTATAGTTCCATCCAATTCTTGTTCATTTTTCTCATGTCTATCTCCATTTCTCGGCGTAATGTGTTCTTTGGTCTTCCTCTTTTCCTTTGACCTTCAGGATTCCATGTGAGGGCTTGTCTTGTGACGCAGTTGGGTGCTTTCCTCAATGTGTGTCCTATCCACTTCCAGCGCTTCCTCCTATTTCTTCCTCCGCTGGGAGCTGGTTTGTTCTCTCCCACAGTACGTTGTTGCTAATAGTGTCCGGCCAACGGATCCGAAGTATTTTGCGTAGACAACTGTTAATAAACACCTGTATTTTCTGGATGATGGCTTTCGTAGTTCTCCAGGTTTCTGCCCCATACAGTAGAACTGTCTTGACATTTGTATTGAAAATCCTGACCTTGGTGTTGGTTGACAGTTGCTTTGAGTTCCAGATGTTCCTCAGTTGTAAATATGCTGCTCTTGCTTTGCCGATCCGCGCCTTCACATCTGCATCATATCCAACCTGTTCAATGATGCTGCCCAAATATGTAAAGGTTTTTACATCTTCCAAATCTTCTCCGTCAATTGTAATTGGATTGGTGCATGCTGTGTTGTGTCGGAGAATCTTGCTTTTCCCTTTGTGTATATTGAGACCTACTGCTGCTGAGGCTGCTGCCACACTGTTCGTCTTGTCCTGCATTTGTTGTTGCGTTTGGGATAGAAGGGTCAGATCATCTGCGAAGTCCAGATCGTCCAACTGCATCCTAGATGTCCATTGTATCCCGTGCTTCCCTTCAGATGTTGACGTCTTCATGATCCAGTCGATCACCAGGAGAAATAGAAAGGGTGAGAGTAACCAACCTTGCCTAACACCGGTCTTCACTTCGAACGACTTTGTCAACTGTCCTCCATGCACAATTTTGCAGTTTAATCCATCATATGAATTATGCATGATATCGACTATCTTCTGAAGCACGCCGTAGTGTCGAAGAAGCATCCATAGTGTTGTTCTGTCCACACTATCAAATGCTTTTTCGTAGTCAATGAAGTTGATGTAGAGTGATGAATTCCATTCAACTGATTGTTCCACAATGATCCGTAGAGTTGCGATTTGGTCTGTACAGGATCTATCCTTACGGAATCCTGCCTGTTGGTCACGAAGTTGGGCGTCTACGCAGTCCTTCATCCTGTTTAAAAATACCCTGTTGAAGACTTTTCCCGGTATTGAGAGAAGAGTGATGCCCCTGTAGTTATCACACTTGCTGAGATCGCCTTTCTTCGGTATTTTGATCAGACGTCCTTCTTTCCAGTCTGTTGGTACTTGTTCCTCATCCCAATTACTTATTTATGAACTATTTACAAATCCGAAGACCTAAAACGGGCTATAATAATATAAAGTCATACAGGCTTTAGATTAGTCAAGTGGCCTGAAAGATTCAAGCGTTAAAAATGAGAAACAGATTAAAAATGGTCAACTGCTAACCTGAAATGAACATGCCAATTCCCTGATGTCTTCACGCCGCCAATCAGGTGAAACATAAACGTTCAAATAATACTTTCCTGGTTGTGATGGAGCAGCTTCAATGCGTACAGTACCTGATGGTCGTAACAGGATTTCGACTAAGCATAACCCTAACAGAATACTATGATCGGCACAGTTTTCTAAGCTGCAGGAAATGCCAACAAATCTCGACATTTTTATTTTTACACTCACCTAATACACAAATAAAAAAGAATCAGACAAGTTTATATTGGAATTATTATCAAGACTAATAAGGAATTCAAATAAAATGACCACAGAATACAAGAGAATTATGTAAGGAATGGGGAGTTGATAAGTCGAGGGTATTTAGAAGAACTGTGTACATAAGAATAAAAACATTACAATGAATATATTATTAATTTACACTAAGACATTGACGATGATTTGTGAACTAATTAAAATAACAAATTATGAGCAGAGTTGGACGCCAGCTATCAGTGGAATCCAGAACACAGATTTCGTCCTATTTGGGAACTAGTCAGTTGGGTGCGCCCTCGCCTCAGTTTACACTGGGACTCGAACCCAGTACTTTTCGCTTCACACGCCCAACGCACCTGTCCATTCAGCTACTGAGTCCAGACGATCGCTGGCTTGTCCAACGGAGTGGATGTTAATCCATTTGTGTTGATTGTTTGAATGTTCCCGTTACCAACATTTATAAATTTATGCGCTACACTTTGAACTACAACTGTTTTACAACACATTCCATCTATGACAGAAGCCACTACAAGAAACCACTATTGCGAACAACTAGGGAGGGACTTAGAAAGTAATAACTTCCATATACCAAGAGGTGCTGAAGTTTAAGGAGCACCAGCATAGAGGGTGAATCAATCAAGACAGTGAGCACAAATCAAGAAAGCAAAAACAAGGAAACAGCAGTCAAAAAAGCCTGAAAATTGCAAAGAAAGCCAAGATACAGACTGAATATACAGAAGCAAACAAAGGAGTAGAGAAGAGCATTACGGCTGACAAGCATAAATATTTAAAAGACCTGACAACTACAGTAGGACAAGCTAAAGGAAAATAACGTATAGAAGAACCATAGAGCAAAAGCAAAAAGCTAACAGGAAAAAGTAGTAGACAAGAGCGACCAGTCAGCAACGAAGACGTGAAACTGTTACGTCCGAAGAAACTACGATATCGCCGAGAACCGGCGAAACGGAACAAAGTCAGCAATACAATAACAGGACAAGCCAAGATGTGCCCCAGTCCTGCTAACTAGAGGGAGAAGACCAGATTCAGCCGGAAAAAGATATTCCACAAGCAGCCAGAAGCACGAACGAACAAGAACACAACTTATGAGTATGTATGCAGTACAAAAATGTCCTTGGAAAACGTCACAAAATAGCGTGGTAAAAGAGGGAACGAGCCAATGACGTTTAAGGTTCATTAAAGTGGAGAATACAAAGGTGAAGGTAAAAGTGGGCGCTTTTAGAGCAAAAATGAGAAATTCGAATTTCCAAGATAAAATTACGAAACTGAGACGTTTACCAAGGTGATTCCTGAGGATCTAGAATCCCCAACAAAAACCAGCTAGTGAGAATCAAAAGCGGCAATACAGCACTTTGAAGAGCTTCGGAATAGACCAGCTAATCTGAACCTACATGATATAAGAACAGCGCACGGAGATCACCTTATAGACGATACCCCACCAACAATAGAAGACCAAACAAGACCATCGCACAAATCAACAATGGAAAAACAGTATGACCAGTTTGAACACTAGCTGAAATAATAAAGTTAGATATAGAAGCAAATTCAATCATGTTTCACGTTTTCTTCAGAAAGATCTCGGAGAAAGAACAGGTATCAACAGACTGGAAAGAGGGATACTTCATAAAGATACTCTAAAAAGGAGTTCCTAGTACGTGTAAGAACCACAGAAAATCATGTTAATATTAGTGTCAATCGGATGTTTCAATATAGCTAGCTGAACCGAATAGAAAATCTAATAGATGCCCAACTCAGAGATAAACAATTTACTTTTCGTGAGGATCGATCATGTGGTAAACAAACGGGAACACTGTGGATCATTTCTGAGAAATGAATTGAACAATACAAGTACGAGCATTCATAAACAGCTTCCTAGGCAAGATAATAAACATCCATTGTACCGAGACTATCAACATACTCTACTCTGGAGTAGAACAAACCAGCAACCAGTTGGAGAAATTAGGGAAAGACGCTGACGGTAAATTGGTCATGTTTCGTGGAAAACAATCAAACTGTATTACAAGACAAGCTCTAGCTCGGAATCCTCGGGGGGAAAGAAAGAGGAACAGATGTAAGAAAATATAGTGACGTGAATCAAAGGCGACACATTAAGACTATGAATACCACTTGGCAAAGATTGGAAGGGAGAGACAGGGATAAATTTATTGAAGATCCTTGGTCGGCGGCCTATATCTGAAGAGGGGTTGCAGGTTTAAATAAGTAATCACCTCTATAAGCTTGTAAATCTCAAAAGAAAAATTATCGTTTACCACAATTCATAAGACACTGATGTGGATTTATCTACGTTCATTATACAACAATAATTATGCTTTCATTATTCTTCAATCGACTGTATTATAAACCACGCACCTGTGGAAAGAAGAGCTGAAGAAAAAAACAGAAACGCCATTCAAGTTATTGTAGCTACAGTTTTAATATATACTGAGACGAACTATTTATATAAAGGAGAGTTCTGGAAAATAAATTACAGACTCAATTCAAAGGTTATTCATTTATACAAAGCGAATGATGTGCATACCACATTGTACTCATAAAAAATAGTGAAATTACCTGTCCATTTTTGGTAACTAAACAATCGGAATAATTCTTTTTCAAAAATAGATTAGCATTGAAAAATGGCGATTTAAGTAGTGGTAAGTGACAGAATCGATCCATACTCAATGGTTTGCGTAATAGCTGCCATACTTTTAAATCAGGTAAATTCTCAAAAACATGTTGTTCTGGATCAGTTAGAAAATAAAATTCATCACATTCAGATGAAGACGAACGACCGTCTGGTAAATCTACAAATATAACCAGTGGCAAAGAGATAAGATGAGTTATACGAACTGACCAAGAAATTTGTATACTGTGCTTATAAATCTTTAAGTTTTCGAATGTGGTCAGAACATTTATTCTCCAAACAAATTTAAGAGCTATCAGCTAACGACATCAGGCTAAGTAACTTTTACCAAAAGACACATAGTTATCTGCTTCATGTTATTAGTAAATTTTAGGATTGTCATTAAGACTAAAACATGGTCTCCTCTAAACATATGTGAAGATGTTAATGTTCATTTATGTAAATCTACTTGTTCCACTACTGGTCATTCTAGAGGTTTATTCATCTGCTGCAGACAGCCAGATGCTACTGAGTCGATCAAGCTGAAAACCTTTATTAAATAAAGTGAATGGTGTATGCTTTGTGCACTACCATAAAATATCGGTTATTGCAAAATGGATGGAGCTTTATAATTCTGGAGTTAGGAAATTTCGAACTACATGTTTTAAGAACTTTTAACCTAGGACGAGGGATTTTCCAATATAGCGTAAGGGGTACCTTATTCACTTGGCACTATAAACCTGGCCACGAAACTATTCTCTCAGAATTCAAATAAAAACCGATCAAGAACACAGCATAGACATGGGTGAATTATATTGAATTACGACAATTATTTAACAAGACAATACACACAAGTATCTATCAGCGTTGACTTGCCAATAAACGTTTTGAAAACACAAAATGTTGAAACTATGTGATTCTATGTTGTAGAAATAAATGGAAAAGACATATTCCACATAATTAAGTCACACTGCTGACACAAATTTATCGAACTACGAAATCTAAACTTAATAATTTTCAAATTTAAAGACCTAATTACTTATTTGTATAGACGAACATTTACATTTACTTAGATACTTTATTTAAGCCCCCATGACACCAGACAGAAAAAGTGAGAGATTGAAACTGTAGATGTAATGCAGGACAAATTTAAAGTGGATATTAGAAAACAGAATAAAAACAATTAGGGGAAAACAAGATTTACTTTCCGATAAATACCGAGCACCCCAATTACAATTTACAAAACGCCAACCATCACAAATGTACACTGCAAGCCAAGTATTACGAAACAGTTGATTATCTTTAATTGGCATGCCTGGACGATATCCAGCACCTTTAGAATAACCAGTTATATATTGACATTGTAATCCAGCATACCTGGATAAAGAAAATTATTAAAACTACCAATATTCTGGTGACACTACGGATGGATGATACTAAACAAAATATAAATTATACATTTATGCACTTGATTACGCATTTCTTCCTGGTAATCTGTTTATATAATAAACGAACTCCAAACAGGATATTTCAATGGAAAGATGAAGTCAAACTCCTGAAGAAACTGACCCATTTCTCGAAAAAAAAAACACCGTATGTTAAAATACAAACATGTATGTATAATTTTAGGATTTGACCCACATCAATCAACGTTACAGTCTGAGACTTTACCACTAAGATATAGTGGTTGGGTCCATTGACCACTTCACTTGTTGATGAGGTTGTGAATTTTCATAGACAGAGCAGACTGAGGATATGTGCTAGACATACCCAACCACTGTATACCTCGGTGTCGAAAGTTTAACACCGGGAATGAGTTGGAAGAAAGCTAGAAACAAGCAGATCAAGATGTGTGATCAGCCAGTCCATAGATTGGTCTGTTGGTCTGATATTTTGTGGTATATCCAACTACCTGACTGTAGTCTGTGCGATAATCCCATTAAATTTTCGAAGACTGAGTGAAATGGCTTAGAATTGATCACAACGGCACAGATGCATTCACGCCTAATCTTCCCCTAGATCTAGAGTTTTAGTATTTCTTCATGAATAGCCTTTCATTCAGTCTTATGGAGCTACATTTTAAAAGATTAATCTTTCGAATCTGTATGGTTGTTCGAATTTCCCTATTGACGTTTAGGAGCGCAATTAATCAGTCTCTTCGGCATTTAGGCATCCTGTGAAGATTGTCTCTATATTGTCACTAAGACACAAGTGTTTTCAAGAAGAGATGGATGAAAGCTAGCAGCAGTATCCAGGACGCGTGTTTCGTCACCCCACCCTACAAGCTAATGACTAACTGGATTCAATAGCTAAGTGGATAACTCAATGGCGTTTGAAATTAACAGTACTGCGTTCGAGTACCGGAGTGAATATCCTGCTTAAAGATTAGTCTGTCTCATCATCATTGTTACTATCATTATCTTAATTCATTTGATACTAATAATGTTAATTTCATCTGATCCTGCTGTTGTAGTATAAGAGCTCTGGTTAATGAATATTTGTCCAACGCTTTACGTTGACTGTAAATGACCGGGTGTATAAGTTAAGAGTCACATTGTCCAATTCAATGATGAAATAATCCATACTTTGGATTAATACTTCTATAAAAAAACAAATGCGAATATAGACCACCACAATTAAAGTAATGAAGATAAAAAAAGTGATTCTTTATATGATAAAGAACTGTAAATTATGTATCCAACATATATAAACGCATTCACTCAAAGGATGAGACGCGATAACATAAAAACAAAAAATTAATTGCTGTGAAAGTGGTTTAAAGTTTATCTAAGGCTTGGGTAACAATAGAAAAACCTGTATGTAATCAAAAGTAAAAATAATTAGGAAACATGAGAAATCGCTGAAAAGTCATAGAACTGAAATAGAACCCAACAAGCTAAAACGTATCACTACAAGATGAGCAGGTTGACGAAATACACACAAGATCTGGGTCAAATGGTCCCAGTAGACTGTAAAGTATCGGTCCTAAAGGAAGTTCCTGTTACTTAATCTCATGTAATGGGATTAGCAAGTGCCAGTGATTAAATTGATATGTTTACCACGACTTTCCGCCCGCTGATTGGATGAAATGTTTTCAGCCTTATCCTGGTCTTTGAAGATCTTATAGAGGAATTCCCGGGAGATCCAGACACAAACCAACCGAATTTCCTTCATGAACATCGATGACGTTGTAAATTTTATCAAGTAGTTGGACAAAATCTCACGTATAACGCTGACAGCTAATACTTTCAATTCTTTTGATATACCTTCATAAAGTTACGAAATTTGCATTTAAGAACTAGATGATTATCAAACGTCGATATAGATTGTAAGCTATTCTAACAATATCGATTCATTTATTTCTTTACTTGGAAAATAAACCCTCCATTATACTAATTAAAGTTTATTCTGAAGTCATGCATATCACAAAAGTACATAAAACAACAAATATCAAATTAGATTAATTAAAAATTACGACAATTTATGGTGAAAAAATCATCATGCTCGTATTTTTCATTAGGGAATATATACAACAGTATATATATGATACTTCCAGAAGTCACAAAACAATCACCAAATAAATACTTAAAGTCTGTATGAATCTCATTAAAAGTGAGTTACGATCGAAAGTATTTTCTCAATGACAGATCTACAAATTTCCTTAACTGAAATGGCAAAACACGTACCGGCATAGTTCATAAAATAATTCATTACGCGATAACTGATTATATTTCATCTGTCTCAACATCCCAATCAATGAATCAGATGGAGCTTCTGGATCATAATCTTCATATCTGGTATCCTTACCAGTAGTCCATCGATAAAAAGAACTAAAATGAAAGTTTTGGAAAATGTTTAATTGTGTGTTCATGATGAGAATAATATTTACGATGAACAATATTTGACAAATATTTCTTCAAAAAACCAGAATATCTAGAGAAATTACGACTAGTTAAAAGCACTTTGTAGTGGATATATTTGTGGTCAAAGAGTCAGACACTACCTTCGTAACCGTCTTCTCGTTTAGAGAAAAGTTCTACTCTTAAACACCGGGAGGCATGGGAATAGTTTCAATATGAAGATTAGCTTATGTACAGAAAGAAAGGGTATTTATAGAATCGCCCGCTCACAACCGTTGTTGCTACCTTGACGTGGTGGTCGAGCTTGCCTATCGTGATGAACTAATCGAGCTATACTGGCTGGAACAATCGTTCCTCAAGGTCCTACCATGCCAAACAGGTCGGTTGAGGAGCGGTAAGACTAAAAGCAGTATACCCAAGGTCTGAAGGCGAAGTCGTACTGCCGACTGTACAGAGGTGTGACGGCAGTAAGGTGTTTCCTTCAGACAACCAGCATAACAGCGATGCTGCCTTCCCACAAAGAGGGATGGGGTTAGAAAACGTTCACCCTAAAAATGCACACATCGCCTTGTCGCACGGATATCCGTCTCCGGCGGTGAGGTCTCAACAAGTACAGAGCTAACAAGAAAATTACCCACAAAAAGGTCGTGTGTGACCCGCCTCAAGCAGTTGTCCCCTGGGCACTGCGGTCACGCTTTCATGTCACTAAGATCAACTCCAACCCGATTTAATTTGCAGGTACCTCTAGAAGAACCCTTCCACGGTTTGGGCAACCGGGAAGTGATAACCGTCCTCATACCTCTAACAGCGATCAAGACCGCCGTATTCATAATCAATTTTCCTCCTCCAGTTTCCATAATTACTTCTACCTCAACTATCAACTCTATACTTCATCTCTTGGCTTCCTCCTTAAGTGTCACCATAGCCAACGATTATAGTGCGCAAAACAAATGTTATGAGGGTAATTAATTATCCAGGTTCCATCGTCATTCATCACGTTAATGGATACAGTAACTATTCAAAAGCAGCCATACGGTGTGGTTTTAATAATAAGCCCTTGGAACTTCCCCTTCATTTTATCATTTCAGCCTCTAATTGGTGCAATTGCTGCTGGGAATAGTGTTCTTCTTAAGCCGTCAGAATTGACTCCAGCGTGTTCTCAGCTGATTGCTGAGCTTATCCCTAAGTATTTAGATAAAGTAAGTTGTTGGTCAAATTAAAGGAGATTTCCATGGACTGAAGAAAGTAAGGATTTTTCTGCACTTAGTTTCTATTACTTTGACCTGACATTCTAAAATGGAAGTATTAAATTCCTAGAAAATATGAAGGGGGCAAAGTGTGGCACTTCAAACAGATGCAAACTTAGTAAAAAGAACGAATACGAATTTTCATTATTGGGTACAGATTTGTGCCTAATCCTTCACTGTCCATGATTAACGATTGACTAGTTACCAAGTCCATAAGTATAAGCCATATAGAATTTCACTGCTTATTGTTCAATAAAAATATATGTAGGAACTATTGTATGATGTAGATTTAGATTATTCCAAGTTATGTCTAATCATATCGCAAATTTCTGATTTGTTACCGTTTAGTTTGGGTGACTGAAACTGGTGTAAAGTATGTGCTCTCCACTTTTTTAAAGCATCAATTGTAAAACGAGACTGCACCTTTGGAATTTTCGTCCAACGTCCCGTAGACAGAATGCTTTCAGTGGCGAAGTTGAGTAGAAAAAATAAAACTGATGACCCTATCTAACATCGTCTTCAGTTTATAATGGTGACATTTCTATGTAACCACTACTTGATATACTTTCCACAACTTAATAAACGTCAACACGTTTTTCAGGAATCAATATAAATATCCTCCAAGTAATATTCTTAGTCTGTAATGCTTTTAACAGCTCTTGTGTGTCCTAGTAATGAAATCACAGTCCCTATATCCACGAAGAAAGCATATCCCTAAAACATTAGTTCTGTTTTGTGAAACTAGTTTAATAGTAGTTAGTATCTTAATAGTCCAGACCGTTGCTGCTACCTTGACGTGGTGAACCATATTGCCATCAGTCATCGTTGTAGAGGCTCGATAGAAGACTCACGCTCGTTCTGGAATACCTGCTTGGACTCTAATAATGCTCTAATACGGGCACGCATTTGTTTGAGCCTCACTGGATGCAGAAAATCCACATTAAGAAGACCCATTAGAATTGAACTGAGTGACGAAAAAGCAGAAAGTAGATTCCAGGAACAACTGAGGTCACACTTAGGTAGTTTTGAAAACGAGGCTGACCCAGATGTTGCTTGGAAAGATATACAAACAGCAGTGACATCTATCAGTGATTTAAACCAAAGGGTTACAAAACACCAATCGATTTCTTCTAAGTCTATTGCACTAATGGATTCTCGTAAACTCATCCCATCAGGATCTGAACACGATGAAGAGCGAAAGCAGATCAGATCTTGGTTAACCAACAGTTTAAGGAACGACCGTCAGCGGTGGTGGGCAACGAAAGCACATAGAGGTGGAAAAGGTGGCGGCTGTAGGTAATACAAAACAGCTCTACAGACTAATAAAAGAAACTAAGATTAATAAGTCAAGTGTAAGTGAGACTATCTCGGAAAAAGACGACACTCTTATCTGCTCCCAGTCCAGACGTTTAGAACGATGGGCGGAACATTTTAAGGAGCAGTTCAGCTGGCCTCCAGCTACTCTACAACTACCCACCATTTCCAGACAGCCTGAATGGAACATTGAAGTAGGTCCCCCGACTCTTGCTGAAGTTCAAAAGGCTATAGTTAATCAGAAACGAGGAAGGGCAGCTGGTCCAGATGGATTGGCTCCAGAGGTCTTTAAGGATGGTGGTCCAATTTTAGCGATTAGGTTGACTAATATTTTAGCTAAAATCTGGGAGTTGGACGTAATCCCATCTTATTGGTCACAATCACTGATTGTCCCAATATATAAAAAGGGGTCAAAATCATCCTGTGATAACCATAGAGGGATTAGTTTGATTAACATAGCATCTAAAATACTAGCTTCAATAATTATCGGACGCCTAACTAAGACTCGTGAACTTCAAACACGAGAAAATCAGGCTGGCTTCAGACCTGGCTGTGGCTGCATCGACCACATGTTCACCATTCGTCAGGTTCTAGAACATAGGCATACTTATCGGCGTCCGACAATTATAGTGTTTCTTGACCTAAAAGCAGCATTTGACTCTGTAGACCGAGAGGTCCTGTGGCAGTGTCTGTCATTAAAAGGTGTACCTCAGAAGTACATAAACCTTGTGAAGGCTCTTTACTCGAACACCAATAGTCGAGTCAGAGCTTATGACGAACTGTCATCTGATTTTGCAGCCTCAAATGGTGTCCGGCAGGGTAGTCCACTTTCTCCATTTTTATTTAACTTCATCATAGACCTACTGATGGAAATAACGCTCTCGTCGATTGAATTTTCAGGCATTGATCTCCTACCGGGAGGTCCACTTATCGACTTAGAATACGCAGATGAAATAGTTGTGTTTGGTGAAGACGCTAATAAAATGCAGAGTCTTTTGGTAGGACTGAGCAACAATGCCAGGATGTTTGGGTTGCGCTTTTCCCCCTCTAAATGCATGTTGTTGCTTCAGGACTGGCCTGTGTCAATACCTGAACTAAGGATAGGGGGTGAAGTAGTTGAACGCATCGACAACTTCATTTATCTTTGAAGTCTAATCAACCCTAATGGGTTGGTGTCTGACAAAATCTCTGCATGGAATCGTTTGGCTTTTGCCAACTTACGTCATCTATGAAGAAGACGAGATCTCCATCGGTCAATTAAGAGATGAATATAATTCACGGCTGGGAAACTTGGCCGTTAAGGATACTCGTAAGTTACTAGTATTCGATCACAGTTGTCTTAGAGATATTGCTCGCATCTGCTGGGATCACCGGGTAAGTAATGGTGAGGTTACATGCAGGGTATTAAGGAATGATGGTAAATCAGTTGATGAGGTTGTAAATCTTCATAGACTGAGATGGTTGGGCCACGTGTTACGTATGCCTGAACACCGATTACCACCACGCGTAATGCTGACTAGTGTTGGGGATGGTTGAAAGAAAGTTAGGGACGGTCAAACCAAAACGTGGCATCAGTGCTCGAAGTCACTAACTTCTAGTCTTAGCCATGTTGATAGATGCAGACTACTTGGTTGGGGTCCGCGTGACTATCGTAACCAATGATTGGAGACTCTGGGTGACATGGCTCAGAATCGGTCACAATGGCGTAGGTGTATGCACTCTCTGTCTTCCTTTACACTATGAGGTTAAAATTGCTTTATATCTTTCTTTCTACCAACTAATCTTTTCTTCCTGTACTATATCCTTATATGCAATCTTTCTTTTATATATTACCACCACTGAATTAACTACCTCTATGAATTCGTTGTTCATCTTGTTGTGCTAATGAGGTATGGCAACTTGTACCGATGAATATATATGCCTGGTTCTACGTTGTAGCTGACTGACTGACTGAGAATCAAATTTGATTTCAATATTTCAGGAACTTATGAAAAACATGCTTAAAGTGACTATAATGTCTATAGCTGTCTAATCAAGATAATGACAACGTAATCCGTCGTTTCACGGGAACTATTGGTTTCCCAGAGAACGCAGATCGGTTAAGGCTTTCTCCTGATTCTCAAAGATTTTTTCAAGGTATTTTTGAGGGCTGATAAAATATAATAAAATAGTTCACTTTCGTGTTATAATTAATGTTTAACTAGACCATGATCGGCTCTACTCCTATCATTTATGGGTTTAAACATGTAGATGATATCGACAGTTTGTGAAATTGTTCTCGATCCATGATAATGTGCTACATTTGTTTTCTTCATTGCTTTTAGCCGACTATTCACGTTCATCATGAATCGAAGGCATCTCATAAAATATTCTTATACGTAACTCGATGCAGAATTTGCCCCCAAGACTGACAAACTATCAGTGAATATTCCCAACTCAAAGAGAGTGGATCTACATCATAAATGGTATTCAAACTTGGTATAATGAAACTAATAGTTTTGATATTAGAATAAGTTACATTTAGCGCACTTTCTAGAAGGGCTGAATAGTTTGCAAATAGTTGAAATGAAATCATACATAACTACAGAATCAAATCATTTCCCCCAAAATTAACTATTAAATAAAAGTCTGAATCATTTAACATTACAGTAAACAAATCCGCGAAACGATACTTACCGTATAACTTCAACTTCGTTATCTATACCAGTGGTCAGATCAGAAATCAATTCAGAGAATGTCATATGAACGCGATTAGTAACCTGAAACAATTTTGTAGCGAATGCATTGGTTAAAAAATATACTACAGAAAGGTACACAGAGCAAGACAACTTTAATTACTAAGCTAAACAGCAACCTGTTGGAAACGAAATCGCCATATCAACATCAATCATTGAAGATAATCATCAGATACTTGCGGGAAAACAAAGGCAGAAATAAATGCTGAGATAACAATCTCACTGAAACTGTCGGTTAAACAAATTATCTTTCAATATATATCAGAAATGAAAATGGTACCGTTTTAAATAATCTCATCACACAACATAAGTTAGGAACACGATATAGAATAGTAATATACACAAACTACACATCCAACTATTGAAAAAGTAAAGCATCATACAACAAATAAAATAAATCAATACACGGAGCATCTGTGGAGCGAACAGCAAAACATGCATGAGTAATAAATATATCTTAAACAAAAAATGGCAGCAACTTACTTCAATTGCATGCATATCTATAACACGAATTCGATCATCCGGTGGTAAAATTGTTGTTTTAAGCAAAACTGGAGGTACAGGAGGAGGTGGAGGTGGCAGTGAAGGTGGTTTGCTTCGAATACATCCACTAGAAGGCCACTTAATGTAACGAATAGTATTAGGTGAGTATAAGGAAGTACGTTTTCTCTGAAACGGTGATAATTTATTGGGACACCCAAGAGTAGACCGATTATGTGACGCAGGAGCCCAAGAACGATCGTAAGAGGTGATATTCCAAGGCGAAGACAGTACGCTTCCACAACTACCTCGTCTATGTGAATCGACATTCATGTACGGGACGAAATCAAGCGTGTACGACGTCCTTAAGTCAGAAAGTGAAGCTCCAAGGTGAATCAAAGGAGTTGAATTTTTCTGCAAATTCTCCAGTGTCTCCATTTGCTAAAGTGAATCAAAATAAATCGGCATTATATATAGTAAGTCATTAAACTATTCCGAAACTCTACTAACCAATTAGTGAATTGTAATTACTACTACTTTGCCTTACCCTCACAGCTGATCTAATTCTATTGGATATGAACGTACAGTGGTCGCTGGACTAATTATAAGTTGCAGTGAGCCATATTGAATGTTGGATAGTTGGAAATACTAGTACAAAAGGCTCACTTGATTTCTTAAAGTGTTATCAAACTCAAAGATGAAACTGGCGTAGAGATTAATATTTATTAATTTACGTAACAGATGAACGATTCACATTTTATAGATTACTTTCACAGAGATACCAAATTCGTTTGTCCTCAACGCATAAAACGTTATGGAAAAACGCCAAGTTTAATAACCTGTGGAATATTCATACAAGATTAGCCATTTTAAAAGCGTAATGTTCATGGAGTACTAAAATGATATATGACACGTAGTGATAGCCCACAGATCCAAGAGCCTAATATTTAATATAATTTAAATACCACCGTTCCACCCGAATGTGTCAGGTAATGTCTCAATGAACGTCAATAGTATAGACAACAGTGTAGCACAATTTTATCGACTTCCATCCAACTATATGTGATGTGAAACGTTATTTCTTTTTATATTTTTCAGCACCGATACGTCAAGAATCGACTGCATATAAGAATTCTCCAGTAATCGGAAAAATTATGGCAAATATTAAAGTTACCAACCTATTCGAAAGATTTCGAGATTTAAACAGTCAGGGAATCTAAACTGTAAGGTAACACTTGGTAATTAGTCAATATATTTAGCAAAATTTAGGTCAACAAGTTAAAAATATCTTTCAGTGTGATAGGACAGTTGTACCCAATAAGTTGACTTTACAAAGAAAAATTATTTTAAAAAAACTAGATAGTTGCAAGAACTTACATTAAGATTGAGAACTTTATAAAGATTATTTCCACATAAACGTATCAATTCATCAACAACGCGCCTTGATTCGGGTTTACGTAGTATTTTATTCACAAAGTTTTTAACCTCTGCCTCCCTACCATTTTCCAGATAATGAGATATTTTTGCAGCCAACTTTGAGATTTTTCTATGGTCTTTTCTGATATAGTCATATTCTCGTGTATCCTTACTTACATATACAGGAGACTTTTTAGGATCATTTATGTCATCCGGATTACTTACAGATAATAGTGAAGAAGACCCAGATATGTATTGACCAACACGACAAACTTTTGAAGGAACGAGATTGTGGATTTGAGATTCCTTATTTACAGGCTTGAAATTATGTCGAGAATTACTTTTACGCATACTTTTTCTCTCCAAATCCTGCGTTTTTTGATAGGTTCTTGAATGGTCTGATGAAGGTCGTGGTGAGCGCTTATTAATGGTATCCTAAAAATGACGAAGTTATGGTTATGATGATGGTGGGAAATATGAACACTTCAATATACAATTACTAAACATGAGATTTGTGCAATCAGATTACTTAATAAATTTTCCTGCGGAAAACAAAACGAAATACATAGATAATTACTAAAAGAATATCATAGTATACATGTATTTTGTATGTTTAAGACGTTACCAAGTTATCGAGATACATTTAAAATTTACTTGAGCTTGAATTCAAACTCTCTTATCTCCATATATATGAATAGCTTAGCAACATGTGGTTTACCCTAACACTATTACAGGCCTGACTTGAGAAAGCGTATAAGCATCTAGATTAGAGATAAGGTTACGATCTCACCAACTTCGGCTTAGAAGACGTAGTGTGAAAAAAAACTTAGAAAAAAGTGAAAACTGCTAACATGTTAGTTTTGAGCAAAATTAGCAGGAGGCCAGTGGAACTAGATTTAATCTGGTGCGTAACAAGATGTTTGTACATGCAAGATGAAAACGCCACAACGATATAAAAAAGTAACGAACAATGCAATCCCATAACCAAGTGCTGATCCAGTCACTAATTATTGAAAGTTGCTGAATGATTGTCAGTTAGGTGTTCAAATTGTCGTGAGCATAGTTTATTTTAAAACTGTCACTTACAGACCATTAAACAAATAAATACTAAGATACTACTGGAAAGATTATACAATTCAGGTAAACAAATGCGACCAATCAACTTAGAAAAAATTCATCTATTAGCTTTGGAGTTTGAAGACAATTTATACTCGTTAAAGTATTTACTTTTAAGTCATGAACTCACATATTTAGACTTCACTTCATCTACTTCAGTTTGAGAAGTCGAGCAGTATTAACAACCCCGAGATAAAAGATTTGGCAAAAAGTAGAATATACAAACCTGTACTTCGTGTGCAGGTCATCTTAATTTGGATTCATATCAATTGAATGGAACTTGCTGAAAATACTTCACTACTCAAAACGAAGATAGTGGTTTTTAACATGGGAATTATTGGTTGAAAACAGCATCTTAACTAATGGGTCTCATTTATTATGAAAAATTATATGCAGAATATATAAAAAAACATTGAAACGGTAATAGAGCTTAAATGTATTGATTAAACAAAGCTACTTTTCAAAGCTTCCATAACTTTTGAATACTGTTAGATCCCAAGAAAAAATGTATTTTGTAAATTAACAACCTTAATTAGATACTAGTGAAATGAACGAAGACTTGGTGGGGAAGACCAATTTATTGTTTAATGCACAGTTACAGAGTTCTTTCGTAAAATGTGAAAACCCATACATCAAATACTTCATTTGCAATTCTTCCATCAATTGTCTCAAACATCATCGTTCCTTAATCGCTGTTACAATTACTTTCTGTTTACATCCCCATCCTCTTCAATTCGATCTCAACCTTCTACTGCCAGGCATTCTACTTCTGATTGATGTTACATACAATTTATGTCGACAGACATAAGTAGCATACACCACACTAGTAGTGTAACTATAGTGACTGTCACAAAAAGAACGTTTACTGAGTACCTTAAAAGTTTGTTGAAACATCGAGATTTAGTATCCAGAACTAAAAACAGACGTCCATATACAATCAATACCGCTCAGAACAGTTATAATCACCAAAACTAATTTTTAGTAGCTTATGATGAACACGTATTTGTTTACATCAACTACAATTTCTAGTTTGTTAATATCACTAGCGTTTACAGAGATTAACGTTGAAATTGTAAAAGATCCTAATCATTAGATTGAACTAATAACACCTACATTAATAAGTCCTTCCCCGACAATTACTCATGAACATACATAAATGAACTAATAAACACTGAGGGATTTAATGATATGCAGTCACTTCAGATAGAAATATTTCCTAAAGGGCACTATACAATGCTTCCAGACTAATTCTGCTTGACTTTTAAAATTCCCAGACGTTTCATTATTTTTTTCACTGATTTTTTGTCACGAATTAAAAAGTGTAAATATAGACAATTTTCCGAAAACTCGAACATGTAGTAAAGAATATGTTCATTCAGATTATTTAACGTTTGTAGAATAAGAATACTGAAAAACAAGACATGAAAAACTGGCTGACATAGTTATAAGAACAGATAATACTGTTGAATGTTGATTAACCAATTTATGCAGAATATTTCCAAAACTTAGAACATTCTAATATTTTATATTCTTAGTATTCAGTATCATGTTTCTATGTACGTGATACCGAACAGACAGCTAAAGTTCATATGAAACAGAAAATGAAATAAACCACCAATGTTGTCATTAGTTATCGCAGTAACAATAATAATTTTTTTTTTAAAAACTATGGTTGTATCGTGGAAAGTGTTGTGTTATCTAAAACTAGCGTTCATGATAATGAAAAAAGTTAATCTTTTATGAAAGTCAATATTCATTGAATTACCATACATCACTAAGCTTTATTGGCTTTTCCCTTTTAATTTTTAGAGAGTTTTCATATGGTGAGTTTGCTTAAACGTGGTGAGATAACATTTATTCACAACTGATTTATACTGAAATCGTTTCCGATTTTTTATAACAATTTGTCATTATTTATACTGTTTATCAATTCAACTTACTAAATTCCTATTAGTAGACAGATTATCTGAAGAAGGAAATCCCGATGACAAATCAAATGACTGAGCAGGAAGTAATACATTGGCATACGATGGAGAAAGCGATTGACTAGAAGAGCTTTCAGATATCCCTATTCTGTTTTTACAACTTTTAGAGGATTCAGTATTCAATCTCCCATGACGTCGCTTACAAACATCTCCTGTGACAGTACCTCTAAAATTTGGGTTTTGTGACTTTGGATTATGATTACTATTAGACTGATAAGATATTGAACCACGCGTTGAACAGTCGGATGAGTGATGACTATTAGACAAATGATTGACTGCAAGACCAGGTAGAGTCACGTTCAAGCGACCAATGTTACGAGAATGAGCAGTAACCAGAGAAGTGTCACCTGGACAAAAAGATGATAACGCTGAGGATGGCAATGATGATAAACTAGTTCCAAAAGAAATCACATCTTCGTCAGTACATTTTAATGCATGTGCCTGTGCCAAAGCTAATTGTCTGCTTTGATTTGAAACACTAATCATAATACTATTCTGTAAAGAGGTTTTATTCTGGTTTCTATGCGATCTAGATTGTTCTGCGGGGATATTTTTAGGTTCAAGACTCCGCTGAAAGATGTCGCATTCCGCAGTAATTCTTGACACTGGCTTAGTACATTTTTTCGATATGTCTTGCTTTTCTAGTATAGAGTCGACACGCATCTGATTGTAATTGCTTTTCGGTTGATTACTTTGTCCACTTGTTTGTTTCCTGTATTTACCACTATTATTATGTCCATATGAATATAAATACATTATATCTTGAGTATCGCTCAAAGAAAGTGATTCAGAACTTTTTCTTTTCTGATCTGTCTTATAGGGCACTGAAGAACACGATGAAGGTTGGTTTGACGGTGTTATATGATTTTGTGTATCATCATAAAAACATTTGTTAAAAATACGTCCGTTTGTGAAGCTGTTTGAGTTATCCATTGTGCAAACTTTTTCACTCATATCAACCCTTGCATTACTTTGATTGGCCCGAGAAACAGATAATGAGTGTGACAACCGATGGTTGGGTGAGACAGAAAAACAGCGACCAATCACAGACTTAGTTGATGAACGAAGCTGTGAGTCATCACAATGTGAATGTGTTGTGCTGAGCTCGAGATTAGCAGGCAAAATAGATGCATATTTTTTTTTGTAAGGAAAATCGTATTTATTTATTCTATCTATAGACACAGAACAATCACTTGTATCATCTCTATGTAAATCATGTGATTGGATAGTCTTAAAATTATAACTGTTAACCCGGTCTGACTTTCTTGTGTCTTTAGTTGAAGGGTTTGACATAGGTAAACAACTAGTTGTTGAATGATGTAAATTTGGGTTCAATTGATCACATGCACCTTTACCTTTATTAAACCGGTGCCTTGGTTCCGAACTTTTGCTATTAAATCGATGCGAAAAACTTTGGATATCCTCACTCTTTTTACACTGTTCAGATAACCATGTTACATCTTTCAAACTAGTAATATTAATGTTGGACTTCGGACAGTTTAGATTCTCATTGGATGCAAAATATTCATGAGAACAGTCCGAATTTGAGAGACTAGAACTTTCTGCGAACTCGTTTGAGGATAAATGAACGGCTTCTGGAGTTAAAGGACAAAACCTAGCCTCACTGATAAATAAACTGGGCTTTGCTGTAAATTTCCCAGACAATGAAGATTCTATAGACGCATATTTTCCACATGATGTAAGAGGATTTGAATAAATAAAGGATGAATAATTAGGACTTGGAAGTTGATCAGCCGTATCAAGTTGATCGTATTCAACATTAGGATAATAGCTTAGTGAAGGCTGCTTCTGAGTAGTTTTATGGTACGTATTTACAGATTCACGAAGTTTGTCTGATTCAGTGGCAGAAGAAAGACAATCAATATCAGGGGTACTTACATAAATGGAAGGACCACGGTCAAACCTTGCTGAATTTAAAACAGTGCACCCTAAACTACCCACGGGGCTGGTATAAAAAGAGTGATTATCTGTGCTCACATATGTACACGTAGAGATTCCTGTCTGACAATGCGGACAAGGGTCTTTTGAAGTAGAGATCCCCAAGAACGTCTGGCGCAATTCATATAATCTGCATCTATGTAAAGCAGCTTCACTAGCAGCACTACTAATCTTTTCTCCTGATTCAGGAGGCTGATGAATTTCTGTACTTAAGTTTAAGGAGTCTCGTGATTTTGATGGATATACTGGTGGTAGTAGTGATAGGGGCATCTGAAAGCCAGTTAACCGCATCAGTTCATTTTAATACAGTACCTAAACAAGTAAATATACAAATATGTACAGGAATATATTAGAATAACAAAATTACATGCAGCGAATTTAAAAACAACCGATACAGCCATACGGCACAAGTGTCAGATTCTAGGTTGCATATACCTTACTGACTGACTGGCGTAAAGCAATAGATATAAAAGAACAGAAAAGTAGGTTACTTGGGGTTTCTTTACTTGTAAGTGTATTTACGATACCATCATACACTTAAAACTGTTACCAAATACCTTTAAGCAGTTGTCATGCTGATAGCTCAAAATCCAGCTACCAGATTATTTTCGTTCAAACAACTAAGGCTACTACTCATTTACTTCAATTACTGTCAAGTCTTGAGTTTGAACATTCATTTTCTCTAGTTGAAAAAACGTTTAGAACTAAATTTTCGAGTCAGTGAGTCATATACAACGTAGAAGCTGACACATGTGCATAGTTTTAAGCTACCTTGCCACATCAGCACGATGAGATCAAATCGTATCAAAGTAAATTCGAGAGTAGTAGAAGTAGTAACAGTATCAGCATCGACAGAAGACTAAGCATAGGAAAAGAAAAATAGTAATAAGATTTCGGGACTCAGGTCCTAAAAACAAGGAGCGAATGTAAATGTGGCATTGCAAACGATTCCTAGAAATGTCATTCAGTCTCTAACCATTAATTGTGGTAAACACTTTGCACCCAGCCCGGTAGCCTACACCTATTAACATGGCCCAGTACAACTAACTTCATAGATTGGTGCTATGTCTTGTTTTGGATGCTCCTAGCTTTCTTCCAACCTACCCCAACACTAGACATCCCCCGTCGAGGTAAGCATATGTAATACACGTCCCAGCCACCTCAGTTGACGGAGACTACAGGATCAATCGATTTGCCATATTTAACCCAGTATCCTAAACCAGGCATTCTTAAAATACACGAGGGGTGCTTTGGAGACATATATGGGCAAATACTAGTAGTCTATGAATATCCTCGATCCTTAGTGGTTGCGCTACACACACATAAAGTTGGACAGAGCGAAATGTAACCCGTCCTTTGGTTGATAAACGGACGTCTAACCTACGGTACGAGTGATGCAAGTTAGCAAAGGCCAATCAACCTTCCTGAGTTCGTGCAAAACCTTCATCTGAAAACAGGCCATCGGGAATAATGGTACAGAACGTGATAGATTTTGAACAGTGCTCGAAATATTTAAAACCGCGTAAACTTAATGAACAGCTGAAAAACTAACCTGACGAATATTACATATATTACCTGATCCTATAAGTTCACTACTTTGCTACTTATGAGAAAACAGTCAAATGAAATATAAAAAGATGTGTTTAAGTCAATGAATTGAGTTCCATATCCATCACTAAATAAACGGAAAGCCGTTTCAACTCAAGCTATATAACACATGTAACCTCGTTGTTGATAAATGCTTTTGGGCAATCTCAAGTAAAACAGCAGCTGTCACAATATATTTCCTAATCTAGTAGTAAACACAGTGCTTACTTTAAACCATCTATTTAAACACATTGGTACAAGAAGGCGCCAAATATATATGCGCCACAGGTCATTCGACTTGTACTAGGTCTGAAATACTTCCCGAGAGCCAAAAACAAAGCAGATAGTTTCCTTCAGGCTTCGCTCCCCGAGCCTTTGACTTACAGGATTAATCCACAAGACAGTGGGGCAACATTAGGAGATGCAGTCCCATGGTAGTCGGTGATTAACACCACTTGTTCTCTTTGGATCCTGGAGCCCATAGACACCATTGGTTTGGAATCAGGGTTTTTCAATTCCCCTAGGTGGACTCTCCATACCCACCAACCCGATTAAAGCGCCAGACATTCGCTTTTCGTCCTCTCAGTTTCGTAAACAACACCCACTTCACGAAAAGGCAGTGAGTAGGACTTCCCTGGCAGTGGTTGTATACGCGTGGCCATGTGAGAACATTTCGAGAGGAAGAGCTGACTCCGCACTCTCGGCCGTACTAGGGCATTTAGGGGCGTAGCCCGACTGATTCGTCACGACAGTCAACCCTGATTACCACAACAAAGTACCAACTATTACTGGGCTAACTATATATACGATCGCTCACTACACTGAAGGGCAGTTACTTTACTTACCAAACCAGAAAGATGTAAGATCTGAACAATAATCTGTTAGCTGAATATCTAGACTATTAAGTCAGAGCTAGATAATTTTGGACACTAATGTGCTTGAACATTATATTGAGTTGAGATGTAAAAATAGTCTTTAGGAGCAGGAAGATATATTTAGTAATGCCAGATTGTTTAATTGCTACTTTCACACCAGTCGTACAGCAAAAAAAAGACTCAGTAATATGTCCCATAATTACGGTTTGATTACACTTGCATCAGTTGCACTTATGGATCGTTGTAGCAAAATTATCTGGTAAGAATAACATGATACGACATAAAATACTTTGAAAGTTTAGTTTGCTAAAGAGACTTCCAGAAATGTTGATATAAATAGTCTTATGATCATGATTAATCACGCAATTATGATACATTATTGTTTGCGCAACAGATTTCTTTTTCGGTGCGTGAAACTAGCTGAATAGCAATTTTATAACATGCCCATCAAATTTATGTACATATTGCTTAAGACAATATTACACTGAAAAGGTAGTAGGGACGATTTCAGATCCAACTCTCCATAGTTGTAAACAACTTTAATTCGTACGGTATGTTTAGCAATTCAGGATATCACACTCGCGAATGAAACTACGATAATATCCCTTTACCTTCTAAAACCATATTTTCGAGCTCACATCGGAGCACCCAACATTATCACGTAGCGAATTATACGGGAGATAACACCAGTTAAAGTACCAAGCTTCTGGAGAAGCATATTTAATGTAGTTCAAAGGCTGACAATGCCTAAAAATAAATTGAGTTTTAAAAAGTGAATCCGAAAAAGGAAAGTGCAATGATCGAATAGGCTAGTTTCCTTTATTGTATATTGTGCCATTTTGTCATTATTATAGTCATTTTTACTCCAGTCAAAGTTAGTACGTGGATGTTAATATGTTATTTAGATTGCAACTGAGAGGCGATTTATCCCTAAGATAGCTGTTCTAACATATCCATCGCTTTTACAGCGACAGTTTAATACTAACCGGTTAGTTTTGTCGATAATCCACATATTTTCCATTACTTACACTTAACAGAAGTATCGCTAGTGGTCATAGTAGAAATTTGGTCAACAAGCTTCCTCCTTATGCTTGAAGACTGCAAATATGGGTCTTCATCCAACCACTAGTCTGTCCAATGCCGAAGATATTCATTAGCCTTTTCCAAACTTCTGTTGGATGTTACTTTCATAACGAATCTATCTACAACTTAGTACAACGTTAACTGCTGAAATAAATATAAAATCTGTTTAGCATCAGAAATGTGCTCAAAGATCCTACTTTAGAACCGAGTATGTATAGACTATTCAGTTACGCATTCTTGATGGCATTTAAAAACAGGTACACCCGTTAGCAAGCTGATGCATGATTGATATCAAAGCGATTGTCGAATAAATTCCTTCAAATTTTTCGCAGATGAATACTTGTAAGTGAAGATTAACTGGTATACTAGGACAGATACAAATATAAGAGACAATGAGTTTATAACTTCTCAGTACTTGCTACTACATTTATTAATAACATGGTAACTGTTTTGAGGGGTGGTTTCGCGATCCACAGGCTCGACTTTCCACTTCTAAGTTCCTGGTTTGAAATCGGCTTTACCTACTTCAGTTTGGGCAACCGCGTAGTATCACAAACCCTCACACTGAGTATGGCTCGTACTTGGTGAATGAGCTAAAAAAGGAACTGTCTTGGGTACCATCGTATATAAACCAACCACTCCAGTAAGGAGGCTTGATGAACAAACATATGAACACGTAAAGCCGATGCGGCTGATTAGAATTGGTAATCACAACCAGATCAGTAGATCTGCCAATATTTACAACACCGTTCCCAAGATGCTAATCACCGAAAGACATTTAGAGTATGTTACTATTTTACTATTGATCAATTAATATCCGATACAACTATTAGTGCAAATGAAACGCATATATTTTAGTTCTTCAGCGGCTTTTGATAACAAAAATAAGGCAGGAGTTTTGAAAACATAATAACCAACCAGAAAAATGTCAGTCAGTTGCAAGCAACGTGAGACCTAATACATATTTCCGTCGATTCAACCTGCCACACCACATCAACAAGAGATGAAACCACCAATGTGAATACTATGGCATTGACGACCGTTGATGCTACCTTGACGTAGTGGTCGGGCTTGCCTATCGTGATGAAGCAACCGAGCTATACTGGCTGGAACAATCGTTCCTCAAGGTCCTACCATGCCAAACAGGTCGGTTGAGGAGCGGTAAGACTAAAAGCAGTATACCCAAGGTCTGAAGGCGAAGTCGTACTGCCGACTGTACAGAGGTGTGACGGCAGTAAGGTGTTTCCTTCAGACAACCAGCATAACAGCGATGCTGCCTTCCCACAAAGAGGGATGGGGTTAGAAAACGTTCACCCTAAAAATGCACACATCGCCTTGTCGCACGGATATCCGTCTCCGGCGGTGAGGTCTCAACAAGTACAGAGCTAACAAGAAAATTACCCACAAAAAGGTCGTGTGTGACCCGCCTCAAGCAGTTGTCCCCTGGGCACTGCGGTCACGCTTTCATGTCACTAAGATCAACTCCAACCCGATTTAATTTGCAGGTACCTCTAGAAGAACCCTTCCACGGTTTGGGCAACCGGGAAGTGATAACCGTCCTCATACCTCTAACAGCGATCAAGACCGCCGTATTCATAATCAATTTTCCTCCTCCAGTTTCCATAATTACTTCTACCTCAACTATCAACTCTATACTTCATCTCTTGGCTTCCTCCTTAAGTGTCACCATAGCCAACGATTATAGTGCGCAAAACAAATGTTATGAGGGTAATTAATTATCCAGGTTCCATCGTCATTCATCACGTT